CATCGCTTTATTTGATTTAATCCCAAAATTCTTGAAATTGATGACTGCAATAAAAGTCAAAGCAAAAAAGGGTTGGTGTTTCGACTTGCTTTTATGTAAGCACAGTGAGAAAAAAAAAATATGGCCGGAATAAGGAAAAATTTTACCTTTCTTCTGGCTCTATGGAATACCAAAAAGCTTCCTGTCATAATGTGCGATAAAATTTGGTAAATGTAGTAAGGTTTGGTAATGTTATCATGGTATATTAGAGTATGACATAGAAACTACTTATTCGGTTAAACAAATTTTTCAATTTTGTATTTTTAAATAAATCTGTGGTAAAAAAAAAAACCTATAAAAATTATAAACCAGACTTTCCTGTACACCGTTACCATATGAACGGAAAAATTACCCAATGAATTGTTTAAATACCGTATATTTTTTATGCCAAAATATTATTTTTTCTTTTAACAAAAACGTCATTATCATAGAATACGGTAATTTTTTTTTCTCCATGACGGGGTGATCTGCCCTTAATTAAAATGGTTGGGCGAAAATTTATTTTAAATGAAATAAAGATCAGTACTAATTTTTTAAATATTAATTTACATGAAGTGGTAATTACATGTTCATTTCATTATCAATTTTTAAATACACAAATACTACTGCTCGAAAAAATTGCCATAATGTGTGAAAATAGTCACCATGAATTTTCACCATGAAATTCACCATGAGATTTAACTATCGCAACTTAAGAAGTAGAAGAAAAAACTACAGTGAATCATCGTAAAAAATTTTCATTCTCATTTTGCAAATGCTAAATCTTTAATTAAAGTGTCTTGTGATGAGTGCTTGTTTTAAATGACTATTTTATGTAACTTTAACAAACATTTTTTTCTACAAATTTGACTTAAGGAGCAAACATTATATCTAAGAAAGCGTGGACATTTTACTTTGGACGTAACTCAAATTGCACGTTTGTAAGAACAGATATAGCTTTATATACGCGCTGAAAAAAACAGCTATATTTCAAACTGTGTATTAAAGAAAATAAAAACAGATTGAAATGCCTGTTTAAGAAAATTGCTAACTTGAAATGGGCTTTTGAAAAAATGAAAAAAAAAAAACTCAAAATACGCGTTCAATAAAATGGAAAGATAATTTGGTTAAATTTTTATTAAATTACAGTTTGGATTATTGAATTTTAAAAGGATTAACTAGTGAATAATGTTTATTCCTCATATTTAAAAAAGCTCTAAGTTAATTTTCATACACTGTAAAAATTGTGGTTTGAAATCTCTCCGAATGAGATGTTGAACATTCCAAAAAAATTGTGTGAAGAAACTCTTTATTTCAGCAACACCAAATCAACCTTTCATATACAATTTAAAGAGTGTAAATCTAAATACTTATAACGGAATAGGCTTGCATCAAACATTCTCCCATTCACACAAAACTGGAATTATTTTCACTTCCGAATTAAAGTCGATGTTGGCGAGCTTTGAATATCGTCTGTAGATTGTTTACACTTAAATACAAACTAGTGGCAGTTAATAGAAATCTTCAACGCTTACCATCGACCAAAACAAAAAGTTTCCGTTAAAATATTTTTTTTTCAATGGCAGGCACCGACTTTGAATCTTTGCCTATGAAGATGCCGGAATTGTTACTCATTTTGCGTTACCCAGTGGGTACCTGTGAACCAAAGTCACGGAGGCGAGCAACATTACCCACGCCACACTGCTACAAACCCGTTTATAGGGTGGGTCACATTCAAACATCACAGACACACAACAGAGGACAGCACAGAGAGAAAGAAATATCCATGTCCAGAGCGGGATTCGAACCCGCAGCCAACGGCTTCGCAGTCAGGCGCGCTAACAGCTCGGTCACCTCGCCGGCCGTTAAAATATGAATGCATGTTTCTAGTTATGTCATATGGATAATTATATTTCTATTTTTAAACCTCTGCAAAATGTACTAAGGGATTTTATAATGTCATCAATATTTCTATCGGCTACCACTCTGTTTAGCCGAGCTCAAACTCTTCTTAATATTCTCTGATGCGTCTGTTTGATTTACAAACTAATTTATTTTAAAATTTAGTGTTGTACTTCGCCAAAACAATTTTACTGACTCCTACGTGTATTACAACTTACTTGTTACTGTTTTTATAAATTTTTAATACTACTCTACAAAAATTAAAAATAAAATATTGGGGGCTTTTTCACAACAAATAATGAGAAAGAACATTCTTGTTGTTGTAAAACACTTTGGTCTAAAGTAATTGCCACCTTTTTTTGGTGTTAAGATACACGAATATTTTTTGCAATGTAAATATTTAGTATGCCTCTTTTTCAAAAGTAATAGGTATTGAAACTTTGGATCCATTATTTAACAAGTGAAAACATTTGTAATTGGTGCAATTCTAGAGACTCGTTTTTTAAGTATGTAATCTGTTGTTTATAACTCGCATTTCAATCTGCCTTCTTTATCTTAAACTCGCCTTTCAAACTACGTCCCTTTCCTTAAATGTGCATTTATAACTGCGTCCCTTTTCTTTAATGAATACTTCATCTGTTTCCTTAAATTCGCATTTCAAACTACTTCTCTTTCTTAAAGGCACATTTTAAACTATTATTTCTCTTTTATAAACGCCCATGTCAAACTCCCCTTTCCTTAAACGTATATATATANATTGATATATATATATATCAATTTTTTTCCCTTTTTTTAAATGCACTTGCATCCTTTAAAAAAACACACATTTCAAACTATGTCTCATTTTCTAAACGCAAAATTAAAAATTAACCAACAGTATATCTAAACTTTTAACGTACCGTTTCTCAGTGATTTAATTTATAAAGACTGTTAATCAGTAAGAAAACAATATTTTTTTTTAATTGCATCAAGACATGAGGGAGAAGACAATATTCCCTTTCATCTTTTGCAAAATGGTAAAACTAAACATCTCTTTCCTAAGTACTTCAAAGAAAAGAATATCTTGTGTCTTAATATCAAATTCACTTCATAAAATGATTAATTTTTACAAGGAAGCGCACATGTATTAAAACCAATTGCATTGTAGCAAATTGCAGGTGCAGAGGTTACAAAGTACTGCATGCTTTCACGAAACGATTAATTTAATTTTCGATTCTTCAAACAACGTGTACACTTAATTGAGTACACGTGTCCAATTAATTGAAGACGAGGAGGAAAAAAACCGCCGGAGGTAAAAGAAAAAGGTTATAGTTCGACAAATCGTTTTGTAACGAAAGTGTTTGACTGTAAGCTTTTATTTGTTTTGACAGAAAGAAAAATGTATTCACGCTACAAAACATACGACTGCAAAGAAAAGTAATTAGTAACTTAGTCAATTTTTTTTATTATTATTGTAATTATTTTCTTTGTTTTGCAAATATGCGTATTTAATTAAAAACTGTACAAAAATTCTAATATCTTGATTATGATAGCTTTAATTATATCAGACAGTTATTTTATTGATTGCATATTTTTTTTTAAATGTTTTCATTATCTTAATCCTTCTCCAAGTGAAATAGGAAAGTCACAGTTTCAGTCCTAAATTAAGCTTTATTTTTTAAAATTTATAATTTTGCTGAAAAGAGCTATCTCGAAACAGATGGCTTTAAAACGGACAAATATCCTAAATATTTGAGGAGAACTATTACGCTTTAAACTATTAAAGCTATTAAAAAAAACTATTACTATTAAAGCTTTTAAGCTATTAAAAAAACGCCCATTTGGAGAGCTTTTTGCAACTAAATTAAAATTATTAACATTGCTTTTCAAACTGTTTCACCAAGAAAACTAAATAGCCACAGTTTAAGTAGTCGCCAATTTGATTAGATTTTTTTTTCATATCGATGAAATTTATCAAAATCAATGAATATAATTTTTATAAGCCCGGAAAAATTTAGCATTGCAGTAATCTTTAAAATATTACAAAAATTAGATTACCAATTATTTCCAATTTCATAAAACTGGCCTTACTTCATATTGACGTTTGTGTGCCATTTACAGAATTAGCATTGAGTTGAAATACTTAGAAGTACTAAAAGTCGAAAATTCTGAACTTGACATTCTATTTCAGTGATTCAAAAATTTGCATAAATTAACTTTAAAAAAATCAGATTTTGGTATAAGAAAATATCCTTTTTCGAATAATCTGAAGCATTTCGCTAAAAACATTTAGTGACATAAGAATTTGTTTTGCAAAATGGCGAGTACTTAGTTGTCAACACAATACTAGTTGCAGTAGTATATATTAATGTCAGCGATTCCCAAAAAGGGATTCGTGGATCCGTGAGATTCCGTGAAAGAGTTTACAGGAGTTCCGAGAAATATAACTTTTTTATAAGCTGTAATGGGTTTTGAAACCCTGTAATTATATAAATAATCCATTCAATATTTATTTCGGTTATTTTATGAAATTTTTAAATCAAAATACCAGTAAAAAAATTGCAAACTTTAAAAAGAAAAAGAAAAAAAAAGCGTTTTCCTGATAACAATATAGGTATTTAGGTAAAGAGAGAAACACGTATAAAATATTAATATCGATTAAAAAAATATGTGTGTCTGATATTCATTCTCAACATTTGTAATAAGTTTTTATTTCTTCAACAAAGACCACAAATCAGGTGTTTTTTTTCTAGTGTAAGTGTTCCACCAAAAGAAGCTCATTTAGCGCTCTGTGGCTGGAAAAAAATGGGTACCGCTGACTCATGTTAGCACAAGGATAACTGATTTTTATTTATTTATTTTTTGTGCAACGCATGTAATTTACTGCCTTACTATCTTTTACCCGAAAATAAATAATTATAGGCCTTTTCTTTACCTTAAAAGAATAACACATTCTGCGATTTTTAAAATAAACGTTTCAATTCATCGCTGATTGGTAAACAAGGATGTGAAGGATGTGATTAACGTACTTTTATTTATCTATTTCCTTTTTACCAAATTCGTGGAAAAATACTTAATTGTTCGATTTCTTTTCTTTCCAGGATTGTTCGAATCAGATAGCTATACTCCGACCCATGTAACAAGCACAACAACTACTACGGCCACTCCATCCGTGAAGTCTATTCCTCTGGCAGTCGGCAGGTCCCACAGCCAGACCACCAACATGGACCCTCGCGACTTCCGCTCCTCCTGTCTCGCTCGGACGCCGTCCGGTTCACTCTTCATCCCCAGCGGTAAGGACAATCCCTCCCTCCTTCCTTACTCATCACTTATCAAAATCCTTACCTTTTTTTTCTTCTCAAATCCAACCTTATCGCCTCGTTTTCAACTCACAAGCAATAAAAAATGGGCAATCAGACAGATCGACCTACCGCAAACCTTAATCTCAGGTGTGGAACTGTCACTTTAAAATTGTCGAAGCGTGACTCAGTAAAGATGGCCCGTCGACTGCATATTGTCGGCTTAATGAGGAGGCATGCCTGTCGAAAAAAAAAGTCTCTTGAGAGATTTGTTTGATTGGGGAGAGAGAAAAAAAAATGTTTTGTAGGTGATTGTTGGATTGGTGTGTAATGACGTGAAAGTGATTGATGTGATGCAGGAAAATTGTATAGCTTTGTTTGATTTGACGTTCTCATGAAATCAACAAACATTTGTCGAATTTAAAATAAACATAGTTAGGGGCTCATTTTGAGAGAATTGCGTCATTAAAAAAGATTTATTTGAGGAAAACTCGTCTAGTTAAATATATTTTGAGAGGATTTAAATTTGTATTTATTTCTTTTTCTGTTTTTTTTTTTTTTCATAAATTTCTGGGTAAATCGTTAAAAGTAAAGAAAAAAAAACGTATTTACTTTAGTTAAATTACGGAACGTGTGCATTCAGCCGTTCGCATACATCTTTTTGAAGATAAACATTTAAGAAGTATTTAGTAGTTATTAAAAAAAAACACTATTTGTTGTAATGCATTTAAAAACAAATTCAAAAATAATCTTTTTAAGTAATTGGTTTTGCCGTATAATATCTAAACATACTTTTAGAAAAAACTCATTATTTTTAATGTTGCTTTGATAACTTATACCGAGAAAAGTAATTTGCGGAATTATTTGCTAACAATAAATACACACAGAAAGAGAGAAAGGTTAAAAAATTTGAATAAACTTGAAAATCGAATACTAGATGGCAGCACCTTGCTTAAAGCACTATAATTTAAATAACATCAAAAAGGGAAATAAATCAACATTAAACTTTTTTACCCCCTCATTTATTTAAGTACTGTTATAAAAAAAGAAACAGATGAAATTCTTGAAATAGATTGGTAATATTTTTATAGCAAGCCCGTAACTCAACAATAAAAAGAAAAAACACCGTTATCTATCATTTATTAAAAATCCTCTACTTTTTCAACATAATTTAAAATATATATCTACATATATCATTTGTCTTATAATATTCATGCGATATAAAAGAGAGAAAAAAAATATATTTCTCATAGTTTTTAAAAGAACGTTTTGAACACTAAACATAATTTTTTTAATGAAATAAATGCATAATTATTATATAAAAACTGTCTTGAATAGCTGATTTGATGAAAGAAAATTCATTGCTCAAAACAGACAAATAAATTAAAATTTAAAGCAATTAAGTTCATTTTTCAATTATTAGACTTTTTATTCCTAAATTAATGGTTTAAAAAATATAATCTTTACTTTAAAACCAGTATTTTCAAGCCAGATTTGTAAACCTTTTTATGTAACTAAAAATATTCCACGCGTTTTCGTTTAGATAATTTTTTAAAAATAGCTTATATCATTATTTTTTTTTTTCAGAATTGCTTATTTTTTTTACAAGCGTTTTCTACTAATACTAATTTCTACTAAAAATAAAATATGAAATATTTTAGATTTATCAATTGTATTGTATGTTATGTCTTTCAATTTTGTGCTTGATTAAGTGTTATTACTATTTATATTGTTACTAGAACTAGTGCTATTTAATTACTAGTGTTGTTTAATTTTATTTATTGATTCTTTGCTTTTTTTTCACCCCGTACGACGAACGGAAATTCAGATAGACTATAATAAAAGATAACAAAATTATGCTAGTTTTAGGTTTACCATCATTACAGCCTCCACATCCTGCTGTGCAAAATAAGAATAATTTAAAACTAAAATGATTTATGAGTATTAATATTCCTCAGAAAGGGCCAATATTCATTAGATTTCGGACTTACCCGGTAACTTATATAAATTTTATGCAGGACGTGGTATTTCTTTTATCAGATGAAAGGCCTAAATCCTGTAAATCAATTAACAGTGTAAAGACACTGTAAATAGATTGATCTTTATATGATGGATGCTGAATGTCTTCGTTTTCCTCTGAAAATTCGGAAGGAGTATATTATAACGAATATTTCGGGCAATCACCAAAGCGATTAGTGAATATCGATATTCACCAAAGGACTCGATTATTCTCTAAATTTCAGATTTTTCACTGTAATAAACATAAACTTTATGCAGAACGTGGTATTTCCATAATCAGTTAAACTGTCCAGTAATAACTGTAAATTAAGTAAACTTTAAATAATGCATGCCGAATGCCTTCATTTCCGCCTGAATTAAAATGCCGAAATAAAGTGATCTATAGCTAACATTTGGGTAAGCGATATGAAAATACCGATATTCTCCAGAAAATGCTATTATTCTCTTATATATACTATATTCTTAAATTAATATGTAATATAGATTTTATGCAGGATGCGTTGTGATATTTCCTTTATTAGATGAAAGGTATTAGTCCATTCAGAATGGACACTATAAATCAATTGAAATTTAGGTAAAATGATTTGTAGCAATGCATGTCGAATACCTTCATTTGCCTCAATAAGTGCGAAAATGTATGTGCATTTCCGGGATTTACCAAAGTGATAAGCCATCAATGTTCACCAGAGAATGCTTATGTTCTCCTATATTCTCATTGTAAAACATATACTATAAATTTTATGCAGGATGGTTTGTGGTATTTCCTTTATCATGGGAAAGGTATTGGACCGCCCAGAATGGACACTATAAATCAATTGATCTTTTAGTGATGCGGTGAGCATGTGTGTGATTCCCCACTGAGACTTTTTTTTTTCTTTTACAAAAATATCTCTCCGCAATCTCCGTAGGAGGAAGTTTTCTCTTCAATGATCCCCTGCTTCAGAAAATCTTTTGAATTTTACCAGTGGGAGGTTGCAGACCCTCGTTTTAAATGCTATCTGTTATAAATAGCAGAAAATCGGTTAAAAAAAGGATTTGTAAATGCACTCGTCTTCTTATAAAGCCCACCAAAGAAGTTACTTAGCGGTGACGGAGATGAAAAGATTTTAACCCGCTTTCAATTGATAGAGATTTATTGGGGTAAGAACTGGTGGGCAGAAAACCAGTTTTTAAGCTCTCTGTTCGTACAATAAGCCGGTTTAACTTTCTCATCATTTCTTATAAAATTGATAATAGCTGAATAACTAAATATATGCATTTTCAAATCTATCTATATATATTTTTGTCAGTTTTTCAACGTTTATTATGATGCGCAGTAAGTTAAGTTAAATACTTAGAAACCTGGAAGTAAATTTCTAATGCAACTAAGAAAAATTTTGAGAAAAATGACTGGGAAATCCAATTTGCAATGAGTGAAATGATATTTTATCCCTTTTATACTGATAAAGGACTGGTGTTCCTTCTCTATATATTTTTTTCTGCTGCTCTAATTCCAAGCAAAAATATATTTTATTATATTATTTAATTTTCTTTTTATTATTTTAATTTTAAAAAACAGCCTAGTGCAGGGGTAGCGAACCTTTATACACCAACGTGCCACTTTTTCTAAAAAATTGTTTAATGAGGTCCTAGACGTGCCGAAAAATAGTTTTGACTTCGTGATTATTGAGTAAATAATAATACTAAATACTATCAACTCAAAACTCTTTATTTACTACGAAAAAAAAATACATTTTGCAATGTCTCAGTTATAAGCGTAATTCAACCTAAAGTAACGGTGTAACTTCTGTTGTTGCAGATTAGATGACAAGTAACTTATATTAGGGTTATAAGATGTTAGTTTAGGCAGAACTGTTAATTTTTTTTTGCCAGTTATTTATTATTAGCGTGTTTTTTATGGTTATCAATTGCTTTCTTGGCATTAATTGTTAATTTTTTTGTGAATTTTAATTTAATTGTTAATATGCTTCATAGTGAACTTTGTGATCGGTGGTGTGCCCAAAATATTGTGTGACGTGCCATAAATGGCACGCGTGCCATCGGTTCGCCATCCCTGGCCTAGTGATTCCTAAATAAATCTGACCAGCAGAATTATATTTGTACTAAATTTTAAAATACAAGAAAGTAGTTTGAATTTTTTTCTCATTCATTTTCAAAAATATATCAATAGTTGTTTTTGAAAATTAAAAAAATTATTAATTGCTTCTCTTAGATATAATTATTTTCAAATTCGAAAAATTATTTTTTGAAAGTGAGTCGTGTTTGGAAAATTTTTAATTTAACGCAGAAAAAGACGTCTGTGTTTTATGCTGTATTTAATAACTATTAATTATTAATTCTAAATATAATATGTTTCAATTATTTTGACCTAAATTACTGCAAAATAATGAAAAAAGATAAAAGATATGTTTAATAAAAATTCCTCACTAAAAAAATAAAAATTTCAGCAATATTATTTCATCAAATCTAATCATAGTGTAAAATAAATTTTATATATTAATTTAAGATATTAAATCTTAATAGGTTCTTTTTTAAATAAAAAAAAAGCTTTTCTTAGTTTTAACTTAAACTACTGAATAAAAAATTTAATTCTTTTCATAATGTTTGTCCTTAAAGTGTTTATTCATCTTGTACATTTAAATTATATCAAATTTATTTTACATTTTGATGAGAGTTGAGAAAAGAATACTGTTGAATTTTTATTTTTTATTTATTTACATTTAGACATTATTTATCAATTTTTAATTTATAAACTAATCAGTTTTAATTATTTATTTATGCCCTCGAAACTAGAATTAAAGTAGGTGTTTACTAAAAAGTGTTCATAAACGCTATAAATTTTTGTTTGATACCATGGTAATTGTTATAATAAATACCTGTATTTTCAGAATGTAAAGTTCCTGCTTCACCTTTAAATTGCCATTTATCTAGCCAACTTTCGAAGTCTGTAAATGAAAATAAGAACAATCCAGAAAGGCAAGTAAATTATTCTAAACATTCATATATTAATGTATTCTAAACATTCAATCTGTAATATTTAAAGTTGTTTTACGAAGGTTTTGTAGTTTTATGCTGAAACGCATTTTATTTTATTTTATAACCGTCGTTGAACAGCCGACCCAATCTTGAGTTTACGACTACAGTTGCACAACTCTATAGCCTTGTAATTTTAAACCCATTTTAGAAAACAGGGGATATCCTGGATTAAATATCGGGAGAAATTTGCCTTCGTGGAGGACTTTGATGGAAATAACTCGCATTTACATTAAATGGAGAGGAAAACCACGAAAACCTTCTACAGTTAGCTTGATGGCTAAGAGACTCTAACCAATTTTCCGTCTACCATTGAGGATATTTTAATATGTCAGCATTGTGATCGGTGCCAGCCGGGAGCGGAATTCGTTTCCATCAGCCATCGCAGGGAATCGAACCCGTTCAACCTAATTATAAAGCTGGAGCTCTAAGCCATATAACGCTTTTCAGGAAATTATGTGCTCTTTTAATATCTGTCGTGAGTTTGTAACAGTTACTCATGGCTCATAATGTTTTGTCCATCTTTAACCGGAACATGTCACGTTAATTATGAAAAATTTCGTAAATTAATTAAGAAGAAAAGCCACAGTTGTGTGGAAATGAATAGCGTTTGTGATTTAATTTTTGGTCTTGGAAATGTTATGCTTGCATCGCTTGGAATCATGAAAAACTATTTATTAATTGTCATCTTGGTAGAAATCTCACGCCAAAGCGGAAAATTTTAAGAAATAATAATAACTTTTTGGATGCTTACTCTCTTTGTCCCTTTAATCACCTTACCCATTCTTCTAAGAAAATAGTATTTAAAATATGTAGTTTTTAAATTTTATAAATTTTTCTCCTTTTATGACGATTCTGTTTAGCAACATAAAATATATAGTTTAAAATTAAACTTTATCTTTGATTTTAGGCATTTAAACTGTGAATATTTATATTTTCCTTGGCGTAAGAACTTTGAAAAACACTCTCAATCTGGCACTCTTTTGTGCAAACTACATATATATTCAGTAAAAACATTTCAATAATTAAAAACTATAACAACAAGGATATTTAAAAATGATACTTATGCTTTACTATTTGTCAATTATAGATGCCACTTGAGTTACTCGTCCGGAGTTCCAGTTCCGGTATGCAACAACGTCCGGCGGTCCAGTCCGGGACACTACTCCCGTTTCCATTTCCGGAAATCTTTCTCATCCCGTTGTACATGGAAGTGTACAGCCATAGTCTGTCTATTTATATCTTTAGCCATCTTGTCAGCCCTAGCCTATTTTGTAGGTCAGTATCTTTTTCATATTAAGTACTATTAATTTATTTATGCGACTGAAAATAAATGCTTAATAATACTGGGGAACAAACTTTTGTTGCATTTATGCAAATATGTGATGTTGCCTAATTCTGGCGTGGAGATTTCAAATCTAAAATTAATTTTGCTACTTATGATACAGATTTTTTTAAATGGCATTTTTAGTCTTTTTTGCTGTAATTTACAAGTTAAAAAACATAATATATGTCAGAGGGGTCGCAAAAATATTACATGTTTATGGGTAGCTTCCTTATCATGACCTGTTCAGAAACACACAGTTTATAATAGAGAAGCCTTCCTATCGGAGTTTAATGACATTTCCGGGCATGGGTGTCCATGCAGTTTTGATTCTGATGATGTGCCCTAACTCCCCTAGAAGTTCGTCGCAACATTTACGTGATCCCCTATTATATATAACGTTTTTAAACTTGCATATTTCGACAAAAAATAGACTAAAAAATATAAGTTAAAAAATTTGTAACCCGGTGAGCGAAACCGATTGCAGTTTTGACAGCCGACTTAGTTCTGAGTTTATAACTATCAATGTACAACTCCGTAGCCTTGTAATTGAATCCAAACTCAGAAGACAAGGGAACCTTTGCGTCAGGCAAGGGTACAAATTAGCCTTCGCGGAGGACTTTTTGAGGGACCTAAAACGCATTTACGTTACATGCATAAGTAAACCACAGAAACCTTCCACGGTTAGTCCGACAGCAAGGAGATTCTAATCCATGATCCGTCCATCACTGAGGATATTTCACGTGATAACTGTGGGTGAAGTGAGCCGGGAGCAGAATTCATATCAACTAGCTATTGCTGGGATTCGAACCCGAGCCACCTTTTTCGGAACCGAACGCTCTGTCCCTTACACCGCGGCTCTTCCAGTGTAAATAAATAATGAAAATCACTCGCTAAAATTTCTGAATTACGTAACTTCAATTGGGAGGAGGTATAGTCCCCGAATCCCTCTTTCGCTGCACCCCTGAAATTTGTTTCGCAAAAAAACTTATAATAAAAGAGAGTTTAAAAACCGCTGATTACATTATTCAATAAGACAAAAATGCAACAAATTTTAAGTTTCTCGGATAATCTTGCTAAACTGCATTTAAGCGTAACACAAAGTAACTCGTAAACAACTGCTGCATTAATTTAATTGGATCAAAGAAATAGGTTGAATAATTTAAATTATAGAATTAGTTTATCACACTCTGTTAAGCAATCTGCATTTTTCTTTTCATCTGCGAATAACTTCTTCGAGACAAAACCGCAAATTAAATTTCTACAAACCATTATTAAATTACATTAATAACACACCTTCCCCAGTGAATCTGTTCTATTTATTGCAGCGTCTTAACATTAATTACTTAATAGTATTAACGAAAATCTTTCAGTGAAATTCAGCGTCTGGAGGCCATTAAAAGTTCTCCATTCGGTAACATAGAACAGTGAAAGAATAAATGAATTCATTTCACATCAATTTATATTTCATGACGAGTTAATTGGATAACTAGAAGTCCCCAGGAAAACGACCCTCTAATTTCAACTGGGCGGTAATTGGAGCTGGCTGATCGGTAACATTGCTTTTGTACCATTGTTTTCGGTCCCTTTTTATTATTGGAATTGTAGTTAACTTCAAAGACTTGAAATAATTCATCAAAAGGGAATATCGGGCTTTTAAGCCGGTAAGAGAAATCGATTTCTTGAAGAACTTTGCCGATTGTTCATGATAATGATTATTACATTAGGGTGTTGGGTAACCGGGCAATTTTCACCCTATATGTTATTAAGTATTTTGATTCAGATATATTTATTCGGTTGGTAATTATTTATTGCTGCTTTTTTTTCCATATAAAGTCTAGTTTGAGATACAATGTTTGCTCTCCTTAATGTTTGTTTTTATTTTTTAGCGCTTATGTTTCCTTATTGGCATCATGCCAGTTCTCACCCATGCCCTGTGATGGTAGATGATATGGAACAGGAAATAGGAAGAATTAATTCAGGTATTATAATTTTTGATGAGGATATACTCTCTTCTTTCGTCTTCAGCTGTTTAGATAGTTATTGACAGAACAAATTGCTGATTCTTGTAAAAGAACTCTAAAATTTATAAAGAAAAAGTATAACTGTCTTGTATCATTCAACGTGTCATGCTTTTGCTGTAACTGTTTTTATGATACTTTTTCAGTTATTTTTCCTACTCCTTAAATGTGCATACAAAATAACACTTTTTTTAGCAAATAATATGTTTTCATGACTATTGTGTAAGTTATTCATAACTGTTAAGTTTTATGTTTTAAGTTTTAACGCTAGATTAGACTTACATTGGGATTTTAATAATTAATAAAATTTAAAAATTTTCATCCAAACTTTTGCAATTACTGATTATGAACTAATTACACTAAATGGATAAAAAATGTACAATTCGCCAAAAAGACCTCCCTGATTAACTTTTGATCTAATGACCGGATTTTCATGTTCTGGGACTCAATCTTAGTGTTCCAAGGGGATGACCTAAAACATGCTAATTACTTAGTTGCAGACGATGTTTTAAATTATGAAATTAGACACAAAGACCCACTTTCTCTGAATAAACATACCTTTTTTTTGACGAATTCGAAAGTTTGACCCCAAAAATATTAGGGGGCAAAATCCCTCGATCTGAATTGTGGCAATATGGTATGCACATGCGCTTTTATTATCTTCGAATCATCATGCATAGATAAATTAAACAAACCAAAATATTTAACGACCCAACTAAACTATCAATACTAAATATTTGCCGCAACAGCTTTTCTAGCATTGACTATTTTCTTAACATTCATTTAAAGGACTGTCATCGATGTATTTTCTTTTACGTCTTTCAGCAAACATCCCAAAGAAAACACCTCCACCGAGGAGTGAAACTTTCTCTGAGCTGCAACTGGGCAAGGTCACGACATCCAAAATCGGAAGTTTCGGTTATTGGAACTACCAATTTCACCTTCGAAATCCATCTCTAGTCAAATTCAATTACACTCTCGCTCATGGTGCAAGCTTGGGTGTCTATGGAAGAAGAGACGGAGTACCCACGCACACCAGATACGACTTCTTCGAAATACTTAAACCAAGGAGCAGGAGGACTAAAAGATCAGATAAAGTAAGTCTCTGCCCTTAAGCTCGTGAGTTGCTGGAAAAACAATCAAGTTCAAAACAAGTCTAAAAATAATAATACGTTTATTTTGAGATAATATTATATATGTATATTTATGCAGTATTTTATGCAACATTTATTAATGTCAGACCTTTTTCATATAAGAGTATCATAGCAAGGTGTTCCACATTCATTATCCTTAATTTATATTTTTTTTATTTCTTATCAAAATATCAAATATATCTATATATCTTATCAAAATATATAATTCTTATCAAATACCTGGATATCTTATTTCAAACCGTAACTCATTTTTAAACTGAAAATATTAAAAAACTATATCTATGCATTTTCGAATAGATGTACGCAGCTCAAAATGTGTAAATATTACTGGGAAGCAAAAAAGGAATGTTAATATAACTGGACACAGCACAGATTGTGCTGTTTTATAAATCCAAAGTTTGAACGCCTATGTTATTCTCAAAAAAAAGTACATACCAAATCAATTTAGAAATTCGATAAATACAGATAAAAGCGAATAAACCTTTTTCCAACACGCATCGCACATTTCAGGCTATTTTTTTTCTTTCTTTTTTTACATTCTCTATTTCTTATTTAATTTACATCTAACATGTATTTATGCAGGAGAAAATACTATTTAAAACAACATTGCTTGCCATTTATTTCTTTTCTTAACGGTATAAATAAGTAGAGAAGAAATAATTTTAAAATAATGCTGTTNTCAGCATCAATTCAGAGGGCGCTGCGCGCGCCACGCACGCGCGATGGCTCTGAAACTTTATTAATTTGCATAATATCCTATAATTGACATTTGCTGCGAATTTCATTTGATTCTGATGATTCCTTCATGGTGTTGCATTTTCTGAACAGATGAAATAATTTTAAAATAATGCTGCTAATTTTTATTCCCACAGGAGAGTTTCAGTGTTGAATTTGTGCAGTTTCTGGATCGAGGGTTGTGGTATGTATCTGTCTATAATGATGGAGATCAACCAAATGACGTCATTTTCACATCAACTTTTACGGGTAAGTCCAACTTCAGCAGTGTACGAATGTTAAGCGGGTATAAAAGGACATGTATTTCACCCACTTTTCGTTGTCATGGCCACATCAATTAATTTCCTTAATCTATTTTTAGATGATTCTAGTTTACCTTGTCCTTATGATTGCCATGGTCATGGTGCTTGTGTTATGGGCAGGTGTGTCTGCAATCCGGATTATGCGGGTGATTCATGTGCATATCGTAAGTATAACCAAATTATTACTGATTCTAGAACGAGACTTCTATTCATATTATGAAACATTTCTAGTTTTCTCATGTAGTCTGATTTGTTTATTGCAAGTCCTGTTTTAACAAGATCCCACATTTAACGAGAATTTTTTTTTTTTTAATAAATGATTGGTTTAATCTTAAAAAGTATGTATGAAATTATATTATTACGATTATAATTTGGATTTAACAAGGAATGTTTCATAAACTTCTGAAAAAATATTTTGTTGAATGTGTCAATCGATTGTTCTTAGAAATTTCATTCCATTCAAAAGCATTTTAAAAAAACTTTTAGAATCATACTTTTTCAAAATTGTATTTTGATCTTCAATTTTAAATCATTACTTCAAAATAAGGCTTTTTAACCCGTAATTGTAAGTTACATTATATAAATAACTGTTCAACCAGAATAATTACCACGAAATGTTATGTTTATTAATTTATACACTGTTACGTAGAAGTCAGATATATAAAATTATTTTTTGACTTTCAGGTGTGTGTCCAGTTCTGTGTAGCGGTAGAGGACAGTATGTGAATGGTGCTTGTGTGTGTAGCTCAGGTTGGAAAGGTAAGGAATGCCAATTACGGGATGATGAATGTGAAACAGCAGACTGCAATGGCCACGGCGACTGTCTTGACGGCATGTGTAGATGCTTTCCTGGATACAAAGGGGCTCACTGTGAAGAAGGTATGAGTCATTTTAAAACTGTTTGCATCCAATTCATCTGCAAAACAGTGATATAAATTTAATAAAATGTATCCAAGATTTAAATCAAGAATAACTTTCGAAGCCCTTTCGCCAAGAAATAAAAAAAAAATTAACAAAAAAGCCATAATTTAAGTGCTTTTAATTCGAAATTAAATTATTCGTCATTAAAAAAAATGGTAATATCTTATTTAGTGAGCGTTGTTTATTAGGAAGATAACTTCAGAGTATTTGCGATTATTAAAAACCTTGTTGCAAAACTTTAAATAGGGATCTATTTACTCCTGGGCCTATTTATTGCAAGATGTGTGCAATGAATAAGTGATAATAATGTATCCCTTTAGTTTGTCTAGGTATATCAGGTTTAATCTTTCTTCGTTTATTTGTTTTAAACTACCCTAATTTACAATGATGTATTTACATTAGTGTCAAAGTATATTAGGATCATAAGCGACTATCATGCAAGCAAATATCGCGTCACAGTTTTCTCAGCGGAAATCGCCATTTTCAAAAAAACGTATTATGCCGGTTTTCTTGATGTTTAAATTTAATCTTGAACTATATTCATAAGTAGATTCATTAAAAAGAACAATAAATTGATCCCTTTAATTTTTTTAGTACAGCACATATAATCTTTCTCTCGTTAATTTCTTAAAGTTACTCTGACGATAATGCATTATACATTAATGTCAAAGCGTATAAATATCATTCAACGACCCTGATGCAAATATTAAGTTACACTTTTTTCTACGGAATTTGCCATTTTCATAAAACATCTCATGCAGGTTTTCTTGATGTTTTTATTTAATCTCGAACTGTTGTAGAAAAATACATTCATTAAAAAGAAAAATTAATTTATTCCTCTTGTTTGTCTGAGTACAGCACATATAATCTTTCTCTCGCTAATTTGTCTTAAGTTACTTTGACTGTAATGCATTTTACATTAATGTCAAAGCGTATAAGGGTCATTCAACGACACTTGTGCACATATAGCTTTAAATTTTTTTTCTGCGGAATTTGCCATTTTCAAAAGCGCACCATGCTGCTTTTTGTGATTTTTAGAACCTCGCACTGTTGTGGAAAATAGATTTATAAAAAAGAACAATTAATTTAGCCGCGTATACCAGTACTCTACATAAATACATCAGGTTAAGTCATCTGACAATAATTAATCGATCTCCTTCTTTTTTTTTTTTAGTGGATTGCCTTGATCCCGATTGTTCAGATCATGGTTTGTGTCTGGGAGGTATGTGCGTATGTCGAAAAGGATGGAAAGGTGCTGATTGCAATGAGCCTGATTCTGATGCACTCCGTTGCTTACCAGACTGTTCAGGACATGGACAGTTTGACTTGAAATATCAGAAATGCACTTGTGATGAACAATGGACTGGAGCGGATTGTTCACAAGGTAACTAAAAATAATATGTTCTACATTACATTGGACGCGAAGACTGTATCCTGCTTTGCAAACTTCAGTAAAACAATTACGCAAATTCATAACATGTAATAAAATAGAGTTAGATAAAATTGATTATTTTTACCTAAATAGTGTTTGAATTAGAACAGAATCTTAAACTAGAGTTTCAAGGCTACCCAAACTTTTTTATTTGCTTAGTTGCAAAGCAACAGCAAATTTGGACTCGAAGAAAACTTTTGTTTAAAGCTAATAAAGCTGTTCTCATTAATAAATTATTCCCACATAGTTTAATTGATATAGAAATGCGTAATAGTCAGCCAAATGTTTTTTTTTTTAATTGATGATAGTTGGAAGGAATGTGCTACAGTTTAAAGATTTTACTTTCTTATTTTTCCCTCAGAAAAATGTGATCTGGACTGTGGTGATAAAGGTCATTGCGAAGGTGGTCAATGTGTGTGTGGTGATGGATGGACAGGGCCAAAATGTAGTGAAAAGCTCTGTGATCCACGTTGTACAGAACATGGTCAGTGCAGGAATGGTACATGTCTTTGCATTCAAGGATGGAATGGAAAACATTGTACTATAGGTAGGTAAAATCACTTGTCCTTTTTTCCTAACTTCCTTTTTTCCTTCTAAATACTGTTTTAAATTATAATTACGTTATAGAACAGATTATTTTTTGGAAAAAAATAGATGTTTTATGTTTTGTTTAAAGATAAAGGATGTTTTACGTGACGATAGGGTATTTAAAAAAACTCGAAAGAAGAAATCTACACTTGTACGTAAAATTGTTTTACTTTGCACAGTTACGTATTACAGAACAATGTTAGTCCTTTACAAAAGCTGGAACAGAACATACGTAAGCTTACGTAAATGCGCAAAAAGTCTAAATGTTTATAATTGTGCAATTTGTAATATTGTTCGTTACGTTAAAGTTCTGTATTTGACATCGAGTTCTGTTTAATTTGCTTACATTCTAAAACAGATCCTAAAACCTCTGCATGATTATTACCACAAAACTTGATTTTCTTATTAGACTTTATTTTTTGAAATTTAAGATAGATTTCTTTTTCTATTAAATAATCAGCAAAGAAAAATATAAATTAAGCCATATCTAAACTTACGTCCATCAGTTTTAATGCATTTGTCATGCAAAACTTTACTGATATCAATTTCCTTTTTTGTGTGTTGATACTCATATAATTTAATATATTTAATGATTTAGTTTCCTTAAATAACATTTCAATTTTCCTCTAGATGGATGTCCCAAAAACTGCAATAATAAAGGAGAATGTCAGATGACTGATGACAATGAGTGGACTTGCCACTGTCAACACGACTGGGATGGACCCTCGTGTGCAATTCCTTTAGAAAGAAACTGCAATGATGGCAACGATAACGACAAAGGTAATACATGCAATTGCAGCTTTAAAATTTAGGAATGTATTGTAAATACAACCCTTACTCTATACTTAAGAATCCTTGTGAAAAATGAAGTAAAAAAACATACACATTAAGAGTCGCAAATTAGTACTACACATAAGAAAGCTATTGAAATATAACGAATTATTGCTGAAGAAGGTGAGGCTAAAAATATAACCTGTTTGATTACAAGGGGAAGGAGATTAAAGGTGACTTCAACTTTTCTATGTTAAACTCGGATCTGCTTAACGCTTCTAACTTTATCGGGTAAATAAGTTAGTTTTTATGTTTTTCTTCTATTTTACTTGGCAGTAATACGATAGATTTCGACAGCGTTTTCCTGATTAAATATTAATGTGTGACTCCTAATCTGCCTTTCAACTGAAAAAAAAGCACAAAAGTTTCGCGAAATATTTGCATTTAATGTTGTTTTTTCAATTGCACGGAAGTACACTTCATTGCTTCATTTTCGTCCAGGATAGGTCTGGTGTGGGTGGAACACCCTGTATTCCTGTATTAATGCTGCATCATTAGTTTACTTTATTCAGTAGCTTCATTTTAGCATAAGTATTGAGTTGTTCAGAAAGTAATTTTGATTTTTTACTAACAAAAGACTCATATTTTTTCACAGCCAACTTCACACTTAAATCATTATATATCCTGACTGCTGATATAACAAGGCTTGCTTGTGAATAAAAGTTCAACTGATTCTATACAATAGTGAAATTGAAAGGAAATACTGTAAGCGAAAAGCAGCATTTTCGGCATATTTTAATTTTTTACTGTCGGAAAAAAATAAAAAATTATCTGCGTACGGAGAAGATACGTTTGACAGTACACCAGTTCCAAAACTGATTTGCAAACTTTTGATCAGGCAATTAAGATGTACCACTACTGTTAAAGCTGTTTAGGCTCAATAAAAGCATTAATTGATGCAAACCGGCGAATAACAACTCTCGAGGTCGCTGAGAGATTAAATTTATTGAATTCTACCATTCATGTTCATTTGAAATGCCTAAAGTTTAATGTCAAAGCTTGAAAAATGGGTTCCTTATGTTCTTACGGAAAGAAATATTTGCCGTCAAGTTGACATCTATGATTTGCTTCTTAAACGTCAAAAAATTTATCCAATTTTGAAGTGCATCATCACGGGGACGAGAAATGGGGGACAATTTTTCGGTAATGTTCAATTTTTTTGACAGAAAAACCTTCACTTTAAGTGGGGACGTCAAAAGTCACCACTTGATCATTTTTTTTTTCTTGCGCGCGTCTCAAAGCGAAAAAATTTTATGAGCGTGGAATCATGCTACTACCAGAAATATGGTTAAATGTATTGGTCTAAAATAAACAATATATGATTCAATAAAGTATTTATTCAATATAAGAAAATCGTCTTTCATTAAAAGAATTATTTTCGAACAACCCAATAATTCTTCGGATCTATTTCAGATGGACTAATAGACTGCGCTGACAGTGAATGCTGCCTAGAGAAAGCTTGTGAAAACAATCCACTGTGTTTCTCAGCGGTCGATCCACTGGACATATTGCTGAGGAAGCAGCCGCCTGCTGTAACGGCTTCCTTCTTTCAACGAATGCAATTTCTGATTGAAGAAGGATCAGTTCAAAGCTATGCACATAAAAATGTTTTCAATGACAGGTAAGCAAGGCACACTATAGAATTAAAACTATTTCATTGGTTAGATATTTGATTGCATGATACAAAATTTTTGAAGTTGAGTCAATTAATGTATTTTAAATTTTTAATCTGTGCTGCCAGTATGCTTGGAATTTTATTCAATACCAGGTATGTATGATATAAACTTCAAATAATAAACTATATTGCAATTTGAAATAAAAATTTTTGCTTAAGGATCTTTGTTATTTGTCTATGTAAAAAATTAAAATAAGTCAGATTATCGATGTGGGAAAAAAAATGGACTATCGATATCTGTCCATCGATGTAAGAAACAAACAAATCAGACTATTAGTCTTTATCTATGCAATGTCTGCCGAACCCTGAATGCCTGTCTTAATCACAAAACTCTTTTTACATGGAATGTTAGTCCTGTAAATTTTACTATAAGCGAATAGTTTCGAAGAAAGTAATACTGTCTTTTCGTTGGGGTAAAATGATATAGGAAATAACATCGATTCGCAAATAAAACAAAAATATCCGTACACATGCTACCGATGGTATTTTGTTATAGTTTAATAATTCCAAAATAGCTCTCGATCTTTTTATTTTTTTTTAATACTTAAATTATATCTTGCTTTATAGGTGTATTGAAACCTATACGTATTTCCGCATCCCTTTTGTATTAAAACTCACGTATTTTGTTTTAGCGAAACTGTTATGAAATCTATAAATTTTATCTATAATTTACATTTTTTTTAGAATAGATAAGCACCATATCATTTTTCCCCGGAAAGTTCGTCAACCCATGTGGTTAGTGAGGAAAAAAACATGTTTTGAAATCTGTATTAAAATATATTAAAATCGTTTCGTGTTCTTTATTTCAAACCATATACAAAATGCATTATAACGCATTATTTTTAAAAGAAATAATTACATTCAATCAAAATTTAAAATTAACATCTGAATCATTTATTTTGTTTCCATTTTCCAGTCGTGCGTCTGTTATCCGAGGTCAGGTGATCAGCACATCAGGTAGTGGAGTAATGGGAGTAAGAGTTGGTCTTGCTGGTAGTAATCAACCAGGTTTCACTGTCACAAGAGAAGCTGGATGGTAAGTTATCTATCGAAATCTTATTTAATACCAATTTATGTTTATTGCGAACATCCAGAAAGTTATAATAATTTTAGTAAGATTTTCTTTGACCTCTTGCTCCTCGCTCCCGTGCAAATGACGGCGTGAAGTTTCGCCCTCTATTTCTCGCTCCCGTGATATTGACGGGCTGGAGTTTTCAGTAGTAACGCGCCAATAAGAATAAACTAATTAATTTCTTTTGCCCGGAAAACATTTTATTTCTCATTTTACTCGCAAGATGGCAGTACCAGGATATTTTTAAGGTAATTGTAGATAGTTAGTTTATTTTAAACTAGATATCAGCAATAATCAAATACGTAATACAAATACAAAATTGAATGTATTAAAATAAAAAGATTAAATTTTAATATGAGATCTAAAAAAGCTTTACAGATCTAATATATCACTTTGACAAAGAATTTAGCACGGAATCAGATTTTTTTTTTAATATTCCATAAGCATCCACATTTAACACTTTCAATTTTAATAAATTCCTCTTAAAAAATTTAAATGACTAGTATTTTATTTAAAAACGCTGAAAAACACCTAATTTACAATAAATGAAAAATGTAAATAACATATTCTAAATAAGGAATTTTAAAACTACGAACAACAAATTTTATTTACTTACCAAAATGTAAAATAACGTCTTCTTCAGAAATACCACTATTAATTAATCAGGCATATCTTTTAGTTCTTCTTTATTCAAAAAATTGATAGGCATAATGAATCGCGAATAAAAAATTAAGTGCAAAATAGAAGCAAGAACATAATACTTTTATTTAGACAAATTGTTCCATCATATCGTCATAGCAACCTAATATCCACATCTTTTGCTTTTTAAAATAAAACGATACAATTTCCAGCTTATAGCTAGCACACAATTAAATAATGAATGGAATCTGCTTTTAAGTCTCTATGAGCTCATATGTTGCCACTCACCAAATCATGCTTGAGCAAAAATAACTTAAGCATTGCTTTAATATCTGCCACTCAAATTCGATTTAACGCAAAGCAAGTATTTCACTCAGACATAGGTGTATTCAACTAAAGTTCAGTTTAAAAAAATTCAGTCTTTTTTGAGTAAGTGGATTAATTTATTCGTTTTAAACGAGTAAGCACTTTAACATGTGGTGTAAAATAATTTTTTTTTCTTCTTAAAACGGTTAAAATAGCCTTCTTAATTAATATTTACAACTATTATGTTTTAAAAACTCAAATTTTTTTTAATGATTGTGTTTTAATGAAAAATTTGCAATGTTTTTGATTATTGTGTTCTAATGAAAACTTTAAAATGCATTTAACTACAGTTTTAATTAAATTAAAGTATTCAATTAAAGTTTAGTTTTAAAAAATTCAATCTTTTTTTGAGTAGGGGGATTAATTTATTCGTTTTAAACAAGTAGGCACTTTTGCATGTTGTGTAAACTATTTTTTTTTCTTAAAACGGCTAAAATAGCCATTTTAATTAATATTTATAACTATTTTGTTTTAAAAACTCAAAATTTCTTAAATTATTGTATTTTAATGAAAACTTTAAAATGCATTTAACTACAGTTTTAATAAAAACCTTATTATATTTTTAATTATAGTGTTTAATGAAAATTTTATAGTTTTTATTAATAATTGTGTTTTAATGAAAACTTTAAAATGTTTTTACTTATTGAACTTTAATGAAAACATTAAGATGTCTTTAATTGTACTTCCTGTATTTTCTTTCCTGTATTCCCAATCACTGTCTACTTTTAGGTTTGATATATTGGTGAATGGTGGTGGAGCCGTGAAATTACATTTTCAGAGGGATCCGTTTAAACCCAAAGACATAACAGTTGTTGTTCCCTGGAATGAAATAATTGTCATAAACAAAGTTATTTTGAGTCTGGAGGAGGAAAAGACTCCCGAATACAAATCTCTACTTTGCCTGGATCATGATTATGACAATATGAAACCTGTTGTATTGGCTACATGGAAACATGGTTTTCAAGGGGCATGTCCAGAAAAAAGTTCAATTCTTGCAGAGCCGCAGGTTGGTGGCGAAACTTTTTTCACAGTATGCATGCTTTTTGAGTTTTTTATAATGTTTTTTTTATTTACTTATTTAAAAATAATGATGTAAATGTTCATATATCTGCCGTATTTAGTAAATCAAAAACTAAAATTAACCCTATGACAACTTTGAAACGAAAAATCGTATTCTAAAGCGTGTTTTAAAGCATTTGTATTTTTACAGTAAGAATCATCCAAAGTTGGTAATTTACATTGTTTTATTAGTACTAGTGAAGTGAATTGCTCAAAAATTATGGTTTATGGGAAAAATCTAATTCCATCTTATTCAATGAAAAATCTCACCTAATTCTATAAGAAATCTAAAAATCTAATGGTTTTAATTAAATTCGAAAATTAGCATACATTTTTGTGTAGTACCTTCCGTAAATATATGAAGTATAAAACTTTATGTGATCAGATATTACATAACGCTTTAGGATAATTACAGAGTGTTCAGTATTTCTACAAGTTCAATTTATAATGGATAAGTTGTAATAGTGAAATTTAAATAACAAAGATTTATTAAAATAAAAGTTTTAACAAAGGATTTTTAAAATGATATTAGAATATTTCCATATCGTTAAAAAAATTAATTATGAATAAGAAACTTTGTATGTTGTCAACATCTTTTTAAGTTTAATAATTAAGACAGGTTAGTTTGTACACTCTCAAAAATACCATCGCCATATTGCAGTCAGTGACCGACAAAAAGTGCTTCATTGACTTACCATAAAAATAAGAGTTATGCCTGTGAAGTTGTCATGAACATACGTATTTTTCTTGTAAAATATGTGGTCACCGACCTTAAATTTTGGCCGAATTTAGGCAAACCGTGGTACGAGACAAACTAGTGTAGTGCTGATATCTGCTGAGAGTTGCGTGTTTGTAGAGAAATGGGAATAAAGTGTCCTTTGGCACCGGCTGGGATCGAATTCGGGGCCTTCATGTCCATTGCCTGATGCTATTACTACCGTGAAAAAAGGGTGTAACTTTTTAACTGAATTAGGATGCTTTGTATAATGGTAACCATTTACGGTCAGTTCTACTGATTTTTTTGACGCTCGTTACAATTACGAGTACTAGGCTGTTTTCTCAAAGGGAGTTGTCCGCCTAATTAAGCAGCCAACTCATCGAATTTCACAGAAATTACTTTAAGTCTATTATCCATCGTAGTAATTTGAAATTCCTCTGAACTTATATAGAGAGCAGTACTTTATTAGAAATGTGTGTGTCTTTTTCAGGTTATTCAAGAAAGTTTACCTATCCCAGGCACTGATTTGCATCTTGTATACCACAGCAGTAGAACTGGTGGATATCTTTCAACGATTCAGTTGCAGTTAACTCCGGATTCTATTCCTCCAACTCTGAGACTCATACATTTGCGTATATCTATTGAAGGAATATTGTTTGAAAAGAGCTTTGAAGCGGATCCAGCTATTAAATTCACTTATGCCTGGAACAGAAGAAACGTTTATAGGCAAAAAGTTTACGGCATTGCATCTGCTACAGGTTAGTTTTGAATATTAATACATTGCATTACATTTTTAGGTGTTGTTAATAATTGCGATAAAACTTCATATTGCTGCTACCAATTGATAGTTTTTTTTAATTAGATTAAGTTTAAAGTTTTAGTTATAAACAAATATAAATACGAGATAACCTTAAATACGAGAAAATATTCTCTTCTATTGATTGGCTTAAAAACTTGTAGTCAGGTCATAAATTGTGATCAATATTTGTCAATAATTTGAAATATACATTGTGTTCTGTAGTAGTCTCCCTTAATAGTTATAGACTCCACATAAGAAATAAAGAAAAAAAACATTGCAGAAACGTTCTCTAACTCTGATTTATCACTGTTGAGGTCCTTAAGAGCAAAAGAGGGATTAAAATGATTTAAAACCTGTTTATTTGAGTATGAAGTCTGTTTTATGTTCTTAGCAAATTACGATTGGTTTTTAGTAATATTAAGCTTTATATAAATCGATGGATGTCAATTTTTCTTGGAACTATAGGCGATTTGTGCGCAATACTGACCACATCGCCTCAGTCATGTCATTGGTTATGAAATTATGAAGTAATAACCTCCATGCCCCCTATGCCCTCAACGGGCTGTTGCTAGAACGCTTTACTTTTGCTTTGTTAGTAGTACTAAACAAATAAACTGGTTTTTAGTGATTTTAACTCTTCTTTTGTGGTTTCTAATCTCAATAATCATTCATCGTCATTTAACATTTCGTTCTCGATTTTGGAATTGCATGACAAAGCTGGTTTGAATTAGATACCTTACATCTGCCCTTTGAAATATTTAAGTTGCTCAAACAAATAATATATTGAATTTTTAGAAATTATTAAAGAAAAGTTTATTATAATAAAACTTATTGAATAAAAGTCGCTTAAATAAAAATAACTAAAACCGTAAATAATCACTGAGTCATGATGACTCAGGGCTTAAGGCACTGAACTGCCATTGTAAAGAACTGGAGTTTGTCCACTTGATGTCCACTGAGCCTCAAATCGATGCATACTAGCTTTTGTCTGGGAAATAAAGGGTGAATTGTGGACAGTGCTGACCATATTGGCACAAGCCTTATTCTCCATGACTTTCACTTGCCCACAACGGACAGTTGCGAGAACGCTCTTGTTTTTAAATGAAATCTTAAAACATTTTATCGTTCTTACACATGTGTATTGCATTCTTAGTGTCTGTTGGATATGAGTACAGTTCGTGTCAACATGTCATCTGGGAAATTCAAACAACTCAAGTGAGTGGACATGACATGAGTGTTTCTGACATTGGAGGATGGAATCTAGATATTCATCACAAATACAATTTTCACGAAGGTATATTATATATTTTTGCAACTAATAAGTTGTTTATTAAATTGCCTATAATAATTTATTTTGTAAGTCTGTTTTCATGTAATTAGTATAACTCATGCAATATTAATAAAAAAAGTGTTCCAGATTTATTAGCTGATTATTTAATTTACAGTACTTTCATGAAATACCTGGAAATAGCTTAGATGGTAGTCACAATTGAGGATTATCCTTCAGCAACAAAGAAAAATTATTTTAGAAGCCTCCCCATCCAAGAAAAGAAATAAATCCGTAGATTCTTGTTTAACCAAGATAGGATGGAAATGTGTTGTCCTATGGAATAATAGACAATTGATAATCATTTTAAAGAAATTTCAGAGAAAGTTTTTTAAAATAATAATGGAAAATTATCATACAATAGGTCTTTAATAATTAATCAAAATTAGTCAATCGGAAAAAAATAATTTTGAATTTTAATGATGTAGTATTTCGATTTACAATTATCATTGTTTTACTAAATACAAAAAATGAAATAAAATCGAAACAATCACTTTACTGTTCTATGAAGCTTGAAATGTTAAAAGTCATTTTATGTTTAACAGTTTGTTTAACATATGTTATGTTAAACATAATTAAAAAACATTTTGTTGGGGGGGGGGAGTAGAGAAACGCCCATTTAATCGAAAATCAACGGGAATAATAAAATATTAGGCTACAATTATGTATAAACACAGTAAACTAAATTTAATTCGCAAAACCTGTGTGCTTCCCTTTTACTAAACATATTGAATAAATAGTAGCTTTTCAAGTCACATTGCATTTACTACCCTAAAATAGTTTTGTCTCGTGTCTTATACTCTGACTATTGACTCGGAGCGTTTGCTCGATCGCTTCTTCCTAAACCCATCAAATCATAGTGTTATTCCGTTATTCGTGGGTGACTCGCGGCCTTTAGGCGGCGAGTCTGAAATTACTTGAAACTCTCATGTTATTGAAGTCTTTAACGCTGCAGTGCGTCTTTAATTTTTTGTGTGTGGGCCTCGATCGGCCAGAGTCACTTAATCCAATGTAATTTGTAACTTATACTCCGCCACCATTATAAAAAAGAAATTTTTAAACAAAGAAGTTAGAGGCCGGGATAGTCTGGTAGGTAGGGCACTGGGCCCATGTCCAAGAGTTCGTGGGTTCGATCCCCGCCGGCCGAAGACCGTAGTAAATGGTGACTAATGCGCGTTAAATTTGTCAAAGTAGCAAAGTCCTCCATGTTCCCATAACAAATAAATACCTCTGGGGGTACTGATCCTAGAGTTTTCTTGTCTTCCGGATTGGTTCAAAATTACAAGGCTACGGAGTTGAACATTAGTAGTCGTAAAACCAAAATTGGATTGGCTGTTCAACGACGGATATAAAAAGATATAAAAACAAAAAGTTAAAAAATTTTATTTAAATTATTATATATTTTATATTTTTAGGTATATTACAAAAAGGAGATGGTAGTAATATATACTTGAAAACGAAGCCCAAGCTTCTTTTGACTACAATGGGCAACGGCATGCGCAGAGCCCTGGATTGTGAGAGCTGTAATGGAACGGCAAAGAACCAGATGTTGTTAGCTCCTGTGGCTCTTGCCAGCGCTCCAGATGGAAGTATATATGTGGGTGATTTCAATCTGATTCGTAAAATAACACCAGAAGGATTGGTATCAACCGTTGTTCAATTAAGGTATTTTTTTTACAATACATTTGCACTTCAAGTGAACATGATATTTAAAATGAAATGAGCACATAAATATTGATAAGTGCACATAAAAATCTTTTTCGATACTAAAAACCAATATCTTTAGTTCAAGGACGCGTAACACAGGTGTCTTAACACTGGGGATAATATTTCTTAATAAACAACAATAAGTTTTTGACAAAAATATTATTAAAAGATATATTTTCTTTTCTTTTTAAACGTCTACACTTTTTTTCAACTGTGCTCATTAAGTTGTTTACTATGCCGGCGTATTAGCTATACAAATGTAAATAATTTATACTACTAACTTATTACAGAAGCTTATTTTTATTCACTTTCTAAAATAAAAGTTTTGCCACTGCACTATCCACTTTCTAAGCTATCTACTGCTTTCTAACTATCCCCTTTTTATCCACTATCTAAAATAAAAGCAAAACGACGATAATTTTGTTCGTTAACTTTATTGAAAGTGAGTTCTCTTCATTCAAAAATAGGCAAAGTGTATTGTAATCATCGTCCTTTATAGTTATTCAGAATTCTTGTTAAAATTAAAAGAATAAGATATACATGATAAGAATTACAAATTAATGTCAAAGAAAGTTAAGTAAAACAGATAAGAAAAACAGATAAGTAAAGTTAAGTAAAACAGGATGAAAATCTAAGTGTTTCTGATTATTGGCTTCCTTTAACTTCACTCTTTTTCTTCTTGTGATCCAACAGGTTTTGATGTTTTACGTTCCATCTTGTTTAGTAGCGTTTCGTTAGATTACATTTAGATCAACATTTTTGTTTTTTTTCGTTGCTTAAATGTTAATTTGTAACTCCTAATATACAGATTTCTAAAATTATATTTCAAGGGTAGTCATATCATATTTCAGAGCAAGTTTTGTCTTGGAATTTCATGAAGTACTTTACATTGCTTTAATTTTTTGTTTATCGGTTAGTTGATGACTGGCATTATTTTCTTCTTTCTACTATTAATTTTTGTATTTTTTAGTTCGAATTATGTAACTTATGTTGCAAGTATAATGTTAGTTTATTTGTTATTATAATCTTATCTGGGATATCTTCCTATGTCAAAAGGCATTTTCAAAACTCAATGCCTCAAACAAATGTATATGTATTCTTACCTTTATAATTGCAGCACTGCCCAAGTTGCCTATAGATACCATTTAGCTGTGGGTCCTGTTGATGGTAGACTTTACATATCTGATCCTGAAAAGCATCAGATATTGAGAATGAAGTCTGAGAGTACCAGCATCGTAGATAATCTGGAGATTGTTGTTGGTAGTGGTGAAAAATGCTTACCTGGGGATAAACTCTCATGTGGAGATGGCCGACTCGCAAAACTGGCCCGTCTGGCATATCCAAAAGGTAAAATGCGTACTAATGTTACGAAAATTGTTCTAATAACTAAAGAAAGTATCAAGAGAGCTGGTTTGCTTATTATATGTATTATTATCATATTTAAAGTTTGATTAAATTGTAAATCTCAAACGAACGCTTTTTAGAAATAGTCCTAAAATATAAGTTAAAAAGAACGTGAAGTATAATAATGATTACTACAAATAAGATAGCTTTCGTAAAAAATCGTAACTATTGTTTTTTTTGAAGAAAAAAGTTTTAATGTCTAAATCTAAAATTTTAAAAAGTTACAAACAAAAAATATCCCTTTCCAAAATATAAGTTGTAATATAATGTAGTAAAAGTTATTCGCTGATTAACACACTTTTTATCTCCCTATCACTTCTATTATATTATACAATAAAAAAATTTCAGTAACAGTTACAAGAATAATTAAAATTTTCAATCATAACTTCTTGTAATTTTAAACAATTTTCTATATGAAAATAAATAAAACTAATGCACAAAATATTGTTTTCCAGGATAATTTTATTCATATCTGCTTATGTTATGATAGTATTATTTATCAAATGATATTAATTTATAAAATAATCTTAATCAGGTGTAACCTCAATAAAATTTATTGATTTAATAATTGATTAAATAGTTTATTTTTCTCTCCTTAGCCCCGGATTTTGAAAAATTCTTAAAATTTTTATTTTATCTTACAGGCATTGCAATATCTGCTCAAAATGAAATTTATGTGGCAGATGGCACGAATATTCGAATGGTTGATAAAAATGGCATTATTCATACCATCATCGGTGATTATTATCATAAAAGTCATTGGAAACCAGTTCCATGTGGAAGGACAGTCAGTTTGTCTCAAGTAAGCAATGACTTTTCATGTAGTAATTGTTTGCTATCAGGGTCATTACTATTTTTTCTTGTTGCAAAATATCTATTGATAAATTAAAAAACTTTCTAAATTTCACCTGTGTTTTCTTTGTTTAAATATCAGTTTTTCATCTTGATTAAATTGACTTAAAATTTTGCACACACAGTGGCTACCAAAAGTGTAGTATATTATTGTTGTAATTCAGTTGTGTATTATTATTTTAATTTGGTTCCAAAGAAAAATTGAATGAAAAGTATTTGAATTTCAAAGCAGCTTTATGTTTTCAATACACAATTTTATTACACTGATTTGATTCTACGCTAATTTGATTTTTTTAAAAAATGAAATTAAAAGTATTTGTCTTTTAAGGCAGCTTCAGGTTTTAAATACACAGTTTTAATATGCATCTTTTAAAATTTTATGCACACTTTTAAGGTTATATATATAAACAGAAATAGGCTGAAAAAATTTCTAAAAAATTAACAGACTTGAAAATTTTGCACTGTAAATACTAAGGCATATTTTAAGTCAAAGTAAGTTGCTAATTTGAGCAAAGTATCAATACAAATTTCAGTTTCTTTTGGGCTAACAATAAGGAAGGTTTTCCTGGTTTTCTTTTTTTATGCTGGTTAATTTCATTCAAAAAATCTTTTACGCAAAAGAGTTAGTTCCAGTATTTAACCCAGAAGTTTTGAGTTGTTTTCAAAAAAAAAAAAAATCAGTTCAACTGATTTAGTTGAACATTGGAAAACGCACATGTGCTATATAGATGGGCTGTTCAAGTCAACCCTATTTCATCTGCGATTAGGGTTTATAGTATCAAAGCATTGATGTGCACCAGACCTCTCTTGTTTGTGCTTCATACATTGCCTCTTTACATCATATTTGCCAACATAGAGCTTCTACTTTTACAAAATACGCTTCATTATAATGTTCTGGTAAATAATTTTGTTAAAAGTTTAATCACTTGTAGGAAAACAATGAAAAGCCGAAAGTTAAATTAATAGTTCACAAATTTATAATTTTTCAATTTTATTTCAGGTTAATTTAAGATGGCCCACTTCATTAGCTATCAATCCTTTGGACAACTCACTTCACATTCTTGATGATCATATGGTCTTAAGAGTAACGCCTGATCGCCGATTAAAAGTGGTAGCAGGCAGGCCCATACAATGTGCCACTCAGATGGCGAAGGAGAAAGCAGAAATCTCACCAGAAATATATTTAGAATCTCCTCAAAGTATTGCATTTGCTCCAAATGGTGATCTCTACATAGCCGAAAGTGATTCCCAGTTAATTAACAGAGTTAGAATCATTGGCAGCGATGGTAGAATTCAACATTTTGCAGGGGCGGAAAATGACTGCAACTGTATGGAGGAAGCTTGTGAGTGTTTTGACGAGGAAAGATTTTTAGCCTTTAGTTCCAAATTGAACAGCATATCGGCAATAACTGTAACTGCAGATGGTAATCTGCATATTTGTGATCAAGGTAATTTAAGGATACGTTCGATCACTTCGTCATTACCTGTGCCAACTGAAGCTCACGAATATGAAATCTATGCACCGGAAGTACAAGAAGTGTATGTCTTTAATCGCCATGGTCAACACGTCACAACTAGAAATTTAATTACTGGAAAACCGATTTACACTTTTTCATACAATGTAAACACAAGTTTTGGCAAACTAAGTACAGTTACAGATGCTGCTGGAAACAAAATTTACATTCTGAGAGACTACAGTAATCAGGTGAGTAACATTTTTTCTTAATAATCATTTTTCTGTTAGTGAGGTAGCTTTGATCTGAATGTTAAAATTAGTTAGTTTCCTATTAAGATAAGTTTCATTACAAATCTTCTGGAGCAATTTACAGAATATTTAGTTGTTTTGTAAAATAAATCTAAATTCAACGTGATTAAAAGAGGTACGCTTAGTATGAGCCAAAATAAAAGTAATGCTCTAAGACGTATTTGCAGTGTTTAAAATACAATGATTTGAAATTTATTGTTACCTCTGAGGGTACTGAGTGGGAGGAGATTGTTCGCTCTCTGGTTCAGATCAAAATTACGATCTGCGGATGTATGAATGGATCCACCCTATAAACGGGATGTGATGTGTTAGTAGTTAAAGCCGTATTCTTAGCCATAGATGGCGCCGTAAAAAAACAAGAAACGAACCCTCTGCCGTAAATTTGCTTGGTTTAACCAAGCAAGTTTGCTGGTATTGGCAAGTGTCATTAGAAACAACAACGACAAAAATTTCAACAACAATCTCTCATAAATATTCTTAATAATTTAAACGTTAAATGTCACACTTATTAGTTTTTAAATACTTAAAGAATATATCAAAATAGAAGAATTGAATTAGTAACGGGACCGAATCGGGCAGTTACCGAAACGGCAGCGGGACCTAAACGACGTGAAAAAAATGGTGGTACCGAAATGTCATGGACCGTTCTGTAATGGCTTTGACTCTTTTTACCATACTTGGGGATATTTAGTACTTTTGCGGTACTATTCCCCATGATCAAAAACACGTTTAATTACTGAGCAAGTCAACAGTATTGAGTGACAGGCTTGTGCAGTTAGTTCTAAAGTTCTCAACACTGATTAGAATTTTTGAAACGAATTTAGCCACAATATCGTCCAAATTTGCATAAACCTTCAATATACCACGTTAAATAATATTTTTAGTTAAATAATAAAGTTAATTAATAGTTAAATAATACGGAATGTTATGGTTTAACGTGATCTAGGAATACATTTTACTGTTACTTTCAGGTCAACACGATAGAAAACACTCAAGGAGGAAAGTGCAGACTAGAAATGTCAAGAATGGGAATGTTGCAGAGCTTCACAACTCCGTCAAACTTTAAAACACAATTTGACTACCATGGCAGCAACGGACTTCTGCGGAGCAAGTCGGACAGCACTGGCAAATCTTATGTTTATGCTTACGACGAATATGGTCGCTTGATAGAAGCTATTAGTCCAAGTGGACAAATCATTCAGCTCTCATACAATCTCAGCATTAAAGGAGCTTCTGTAACTGTAACGAGGGATGAAAAAGATTCCGTCGTTCTTTTAATCAAAGGATCTGACGTCACCACGAGAATAGGTAAATTCTTAAAATATTATGTATTGGTATATCGTAGCCTTTTTAGTTGTGTTACATTTCAAAAAAATGATTTAAAAGAAATGGTATCGTAGAGCAACGTTACTAAATACAAATATAAAATTCTTTGGAACATAAAAGTATTATGTATCTAGACTTGAATGGCATAATCATTATATTATCCTTTTGTCCAAAGTAAATTTGAATTTTTAAGACTAAACCAGGTGTAACCTCTAAAATTTAGACTTCTAAAATTTTTCATAAGTATATTTATGCAATTAGGTTATGTATAAGAATTTCAGAGAATTGATGAAATTATATTAAAAACTAACCTGAAGCCAAAGCTAAGTGAGCAATTCGAAATTTTGCCACGTGGATAAAATATCCAGTTTTCTGATAATTAATATCATTTTTACGCTAAATGAAATTTTAAAGTCATGTTAAAAAGTTTAATAACATTTATCTAAATTTTGATTGGTAATAGGGATAAAATGATTATAAGTCATGAAAAAAAATCTATGTCTCATCTCTCTAAGTTGACCACAGAAGCCATGCACAAAACAAAAGTAATGCAAGTGGTCAACTTAAATAGATTTCATTGCATATTAATTTCACTATTTTAGATTTTTAAAAAAAATCTTATTGCTGATTGCTTTTAATGCTTACGTGCATGCTTCGTGGTTTTTTTTATCCTGAAGACAAATGTAAGTAATTATTTGTTAATGTTAATAAATTCTATAACTTTTTTTAGGAAGTGCTGAAAAAAGAGTAACTCAGTTTCCGGATGGCAGTTTAATCCTGACGTCTCCTGATTCCAGTACCATCGAAGTGGACACGACAACCAGTCCTATTTTAAGTAATGAAAATCCTTTAATTGCAGAGAGCTACCCACTACCTACTAAACTCAAAGAAACTCTCAGCGAAGACAATGTCCAACACCTTGAATGGAAATACCTGATTAAGAAAGCAGGCAAAGGACAAACTAGAGAAATTACGCACATAGGAAAGATCTTGAAGGTATGTATACTGTAGCGAGATTAACTCACAGTCAGTTAGCTTATAGTAAGGTCTGGAACGCATCTCGTATTACAAACAATACGTGAATAAAATTACAAAAATATATATATATATATATATATATTATAACTGTACATCTTTTCTTTAAAGTACTTTTCTAACGTAACTAGTAATTATTCTTTTGTAAGTTGAAATGACGTTAATAAAGCAAAAAAAAATTAACGCTATTTTGAATCGATATTTTTACAATTTCTCTATTGCTTTGGTAAATTGGGTTGCACTATGCTAGTCTTCTTTTTATATTCAATATATGGTGGTATGCAAATCATAATAAGCTAAATTCAAGTTAGTTAGGAGTAAAATTTGTTCTGTTTCAATCATTACCTTTCCTAACCACATTTACGAACATAAATACCAAAACTAGTTCCCTGTGCAATTGAATCACTTAAACTATATGATTTTTTAATTTATAGTATTTCAACAGCGGTACGTTAAATCAACCTGGAATGAAAGCCTAGTGATTGAATGTTTTAATTAAACATTTTTCTACCCACAGATTATTGTATTTTTTATTTTGCAAAACTGATTGTATATGCACTGGTGTTGGGCTCTGTTAAAATTTTATACAGCGGAAATAGTTTCATTGAGTTAGACACAATACTTCTCCATAATATTATGATCTAGAACTATCACTATATTATTTTATAAAGAGTCGGGATATCATGGCTGTTAGGGCACTGGGTCCATGACCAAGAGGTAAGGATTCGATACCCGCTGGCTGAAGACTCCCTATGTAGTAAATGGTGACTGATGCACGTTTAATCTGTCGAGTCACAAATTCCTCCATATTCCCATAACAAATCATACTTATAGGGGTACTGATACAGAAGTTTCCTTGTGTTCTGGATTGATTCGAAATTACGAGGCTGCGGAGTTGAACATTAGTAATCGTAAAACCAAAATTGGGTCGGCTGTTCGACGACGGTTATAATAAATTACCTTATTAGAGCTCAGAGGATAGAGCGCTAGTCTCCCAATAAGGTGAGCCAGGTTCGAATCCCGGCAATGGTTGGTTGGTTCGAGTTCCGCACGCGGCTCGCACCGATCACAGTGGTGACGGAAAATATCATGGGTTATCATAGGTTAGTGCTACCCGTGAGAGGTTTTCGTGGTTCCCTCTCCATGTAACGCAAATGCAGATTAGTCCCATCAAAAAGTCCTCAGCGAAAGCAAATTTCTCCCAATACTTGATCCAGGAGTTCCCATTTCTTCTGGATTGGGTTTAAAATTACAAGGATAGGAAGTTGAATATTGGTAGCAGTAAACTGAAAATTCGGCCCTCTGCCATTTTCCAAAGAACTATTGGGGAACAATAATCAGAGCAGCTCTCTCTAATTATATCTGTTTGTAGCCACTTTAATATCTGATGATTTACTTTTTGTCTTCCAAAAAAGAATAAGCGTCCAACTCTTTGACATACTGGGATTTCTTCTTTCAAAATAATTTTAATTGTCAATATAGTATGTTAAATTTTGTTTGGTTTGTAATTATTAATCAACACAGATAGTTCATTAACATGTGATAAATCAAGTCCGTCATTACTATACACATTGTTGATAATATATCACAAACATTCACAAGAACATAGATAAGAAAACATTCACACGAACAAGGGTTATTAATTAAATCCAAACCACAACATTTACAGAAATCTTCGTCTTCAGAGGCTCCGATTCGGGTATTAACATCAGAAGAAGTGACTTTAGTTTTATTAGTTGGTCATAAATAGAGGGTGTTATAATACAATCAACCGCAACGTTGACCTTCGATCTCAAAGTATTGGGATTTATGGACATTTTAACCTCAACTAGTCTGACTCCTTGTACATCACCAAAGCTAGATACAAGGATCATTTCAGATTGAGGCGGATCGCTATTTTTATCTTATTTAAATTAATCACCAACAATTCAGCACCTGAATCAATTGTTGCTCTAACTAGATTCCCATTCCCATAAATTTGAGCATACTTCAATTCGTGTTTAAAATTATTTCCTCCTAATGGCTTACAGGGAATTCAAACTGAAGTTTTTATTTTTTAAGTTATCACTAGGAAAGGTATTTTTCTTTCAGAGTTTTCGTTTCTAGAATCGTGTTGTTTTTCGAACCACCGCAATTTCACCTCAAACATATTAATTTCACCGCAAACAATGTCACCATGCATTATTTTGTTTATCTATCGTTTAAGAAAAATGATCCGGACTGTTTTACCTGAATTGTTTTCGCTTCGAAAAATAGTGTTTTCCGCATATTTATGGGGAATGGAAGCTTCTCTGCGTAGCATATTTTTAGACGTAATGTAAATGTCCGATTCTAGCGCTAACTCGATAGGATTAAACCAATTTTCTCCATGACGGATTGATCCAGGAGTTCCCTTGTTACATTAGTAGTCGTGAACCCAAAAACTCCGATTTACGACTATACCAATAGTCAACCCGCGTAATTTTAAATCAAAATCAGAAGACAAGGGAAAGCCTGGAGCAACTATCGGGACTAACTTGTTTAAAACTAACCCGCATTTACGTTACATGGAAAAGAAAACCAGGTACATCTCCTGTAGCTATCCTAGTAGTAAGTGGACTCTAACCCATGGTGAATCAACCATGACTCATATTTTTCGTCAGCACTGCATTACACTGGATACAAGTGAAGTGCATTACAGGAATCGACCAATATCAACCTTAATTTGAACCTACATTGACTCAATGGGATGAGAGCGCTCTATCCCCTGAATCGTCCCTGCTTGTGTATCGAAATTTTAATTTATTTTGTAACCAGAATTGAACAACGGATTTAAGACCTTCATTCTTCAACTGCGTCGTCCCGTAATTTTAATCCCAACCCAGAAGACAAGGGTACTCCTTGATCGAGTATGTATCAGGGCAAAATAGCCTTCGCGAGGGACTTTTTGGAGAAACTATCCTGCGTTTGTGTTTCATAGAAAGAAGAACCACGAAAATCTCTTACAGTTAGTCCGATTTCAAGCGAATTCTAACACATGATCCTTCTACCACGGAGGATATTCTACTTCAATAATGTGGTCGGTGGATATTCGAACCGATCAGCCATCGTTGGGATTCGAACCTAGGCTCTCCTCATTCGGAGGCGAATACTCTATCATCTGAGGTACTGGTATCGATATTATCGTATTCGCGATATATCGTAAATTTATAATTTAAGTATCGGTATCCCGCTACTTTAAATTATCGACATTATATAACATATCACCCAGCTTTTTTGCTTGTAATTAAATAAAACGTTTTCTTTTTTAGTTTCTAATCACAAAAAATTTTTTTTATAATTATCATTTTGTTTGTTTCAGGTGAATGGTGAGGTGTTTTTCTCTGTAGAATTTGACAGGGAAGAGCACAGTGAAACTATCTTTGACCGGAACCAAGTACCTCTTCTAACTGCTCATTATGACGTTTTAGGACAACCACAGCAATGGAAACCAGCTCATAATTTCACATCTGTGCGACTGGACTATGACCGATATGGCAGATTGTCTCACTGGGAGCGAGGTTATCTCTTCGAGAGATACACATTTGATATGCAGGGAAGATTGGCAGAAATCAGACATGCAGATAATACTGGCATAATGTACAAGTATGATGAGGGAGCAATCAGTATGGTAAGAGAGCCATATCAGCCTTACGTAAATTGATTTCTAAATTCTGAATACAAGTTTCTAATTATAAATAACAAAGAATGTAATTCAAAAAATTATGTTAAAGCTAAATTAATAGCTTCAAATCAATTAGTTTTTTTAATAGAAGTAATGAAGAAAACTGTTGTTAATAATTTATTCCCAAACATGAAATGGGTGTGCAAGTTAGTAACTATAAATTATATTTTATTATGAGATAGTGTAAATTGAATTAATAACTCAAATCTTGTAGTGTATAAATACAAGTTATAATCACCAGTTATTAATATCCTGAACTATTAAAAGCCAATAAATCATAGTTGAACTTATCAGTTTTGATCATAAACTACCATCTATTAACTAATAAATTAGGTTTTTACATAAAACACGTTTAAAATGGATTAAAAGATTAAACTAATCCAAATGCTTTCGTTTCTTAAATAAAAGTCTGAAATCACAATTTAGGTCTCAACAGCTATTATTATACTTGCAATGTTCCTTTTTTTTGTCATTTCTAATAATTTATATTCCTTTCACGCCCTAATATTTTAATCTTCATTAAACTTCTATGCACACAAAAAAAGAAATATTACATTTTATGTGACTTTTTTACCGAATGTTTCTTAATCACCAGCTTTAATGCATATTTATAAAATTTTCAACTAAACTGAAGCCAAAAAAGTACATGCATTACAGATTGCAAATCAATATCCTAATATAATCTGTCGAATAACTAGCAAAAGAAAATAGGATGAAAAACATTAAAATCAGTTTGACCGTTTGCTGAAATGTATCTAATAATCAACTTTTAACTGCTCTGTTTCCTTCGACAATCAAGCAGGTTTTGAGTTTCACCATCCTCAGTCATAATACTCTAGATTTCAATAGCATTTTTTATTTCCCTCGCTTAAAATTTAATTTGAGACCTAAGAATTTGCCGAAGCTTTTAACTTCATTATTGACAATCATTCAAAAAATACGTAGCAAGTTTGACATTTTGAAACACCTTGTGTATTTTTACTTGATTAAAGTAAAATAATGCTAACAAATCAAATCAAATAAATAAATGTTCTAAATTTTTTTTGTCTTTTTTTCGCAGCCAAGTGAGGTGATTGTTCCAAGTGGCAGCAGATACCTTTTACAATATGATTCTTCCGAAGGACTTCAAGCAATAATCACTCCAAATGGCCACAAACATGAATTGGCTTTCCAAACTTCTCTTGGATTTTATAAAATTTTATATCTTAGTCCAGGAGTGCGCTATCCATTTGTGACCCACTATGGGGACAATGGTCAACTACTAGCAAAACTGTACCCTGAAAATAATGGCCGAGTGGTATATTTATACAATGAAAATGGAAATGTAAAAACTATACTCTGTGGACCTGAGAGAACAGATTTCGCATACCTGGATCAAAAGACCCTGGTTCGTTCATGGACGAAAACCGTACCGGAACTTGAACTAAGAACTGACTATCGGTATCATGGTATACTAGTGCAAGAGGAACGGTTTAGGGTGAGCAGTCGAAGTGCTCTTAGCAATGCCAAGTTCAAATACCAATATGAAGGACACATTAATATCGTTGAAATCGAAATTGGTGGAAAAGCTGTAAGTGAAATCCGTTACAGATATGGAGTACAATCTGGAGCATTGGAACAAGTTCAAAAGTTTCTTATTCATAGACCTAAAATTAACAATGTCTTCATCCAAGACGATCAACGCCATTTTTCCAAGACAATCGCTCACGATTCCTATGGAAAAATTTCACTATTGGCTATAAGTCTATGGAATCGAGAGGTGTTCTCTCTTAGCATACGTTATGACAATAGGGGAAGGATAAGGCAAATGAGTAGCAAAGCTGGTTATGATGTCCCGCCTGAAGTTAACAACTGCACTTACACACCTGACGGTTATTTGAGTGAAGTATCTGGACGCCGTAATTATAGGTTCCTGTACGATGTTAATGGAAACATGAAAACGTTTTGGGAAGATGACCACCAGGTGACTCTTAAGTATGATGATGGGGACAGGTTGATTGGGTACAATGACATGGACATGTATGAGGTCGATGGAAGAGGTTTCCTTGTGAGGAAAGGTCAAGACAAATTTACTTTCAATGCTAAGGCACAGCTTATCCATGCTGTTCAATCTGGTTTATATGAAGTTTATTATTATTACGATGCTTTTGACCGTCCAGTTGCGTGGAGGGATCACAAGGGAAACGTAACCCAGTTTTTCTATACTAATCCGAAAAATATATATCAAGTCACACACATCCACAAGACTGAAAACAAAGAAACATTGTCATTGATTTATGACACCAACAATCATTTGATGTATATCGAGGATTCGGCGTCTAACAAATATTTTGTAGCTACAGATCACTTAGGTTCTCCTTTACTTGTGTTCACTTCAGAAGGTAAAGTCGTCAAGGAAATAAAAAGAACGCCATTTGGAAAGTTAGTGTTCGATTCTAACCCGTCATTTATGATATTTGTTGATTTCTGCAATGGTTTGAGAGACCCATACACTGGATTATTGTTTTTCAAAAATCGTGCTTATGATTCTACTGGTGCCCAGTGGTTGACGCCCAATTGGGAGGATGTACCCAAGTATATTTCAAAGCCATACATGATTCATTTGTATCGTTTCCATGGAAACAATCCAGTAAATGATTATGAAGATAATTATCATTTAGATAGTAAGTTATAATTTTTATCTTTTTATCATTACTTAACAAATTATAATTTTTTGCGCAAATCATTAAACGGTCTATAGTTTTGATTTATGTACAAATTTTCTTGGCAAAAGAATTAGGTTTGTATGAAATATCTATTTATTTAGATAGTGTTTGCTGTAACTATTAACAACAAACAAATTAAGTTTATCTTGACATTATATTATCAAAACCATGTTTGATCATGAATAGCAAACTAAGTTCAATTTTGGTTTAAAATGTAAATTGAGATTTTTATTGTTAAAAGATAATTCGTGTCATTTTCCCCACACGAAAAAAGAAAACTTTCCTTACTAAAATAACTTTGTGCTTGAAAATTTATTACTATGTATCTTGCGTTGGTTTATCGTTTTCTTATTAAATACTAGACTTGTTCAAAAAGTAAAAAATGTATAATATGTACCCGGACAAGTAATATTTGATAATTCAATTCGGCAACATATCAATGCTTTGACCCGTTTGCTTCTGGAGCATTTGGCATGTCTGAGTTGATTATAGTTCGAGTAGAGATCGTTTTTATTACACATATTGTACTATTACACATTACACATATTTGCCTAATGTTCTCTGAATCTTTTAACTTGCAAAGATAGGATAATCACGAAAATTTTCTTTATTTTAATAAGCTATTTCCATCTACATAAACTTGACTCTTGAAAACACTTTTTGCTCGAACCAGTCTGAACAGAAATGTGGGAAAAAATTTGATAAAAATCAAAGTGTATAAGCATGTAGTGAAACGTTAACTCTTCATCAATATACAATATATTGTTACTTTTTTAATAAACCTTTAATATCTATCATATCATAGTATAGTAAAGCAATCAATTTGTTATTTTATTTAAATGTGATATCTAAAACAATAAGTTTCATTCTTCTTTATTTAGATTTAAACAAATGGATATCAGCCTTTGGCCTCGGAAAATTCAACGCACCATTCGCAGAAACCCTGAATCCGAATCCTGAGGTAGCATATGATGTCAAACCAAGTTTGCCCGTTATCTCTGGCTTAAGTTGTACAGCAGACGTCGTCTCTCGAGAATTCTTTCGCATAACTACCGTTCCTCGCACTGAAATACGTGGACACATATCAGGAAGTGAATTGAATCCACAGTTGGCAAATCTACCATCCGTTCTCGGCGATGGCCTTCTCTTGTCAAGACGGAATAATCGTGCAATTGTGCACGTCCTCAGCGATGCTAGTCCAATTCTAAGAGATGTCATCACCACGGTTCTCAATGACACTGAATATGTTGATCTCCATTTCTCACTGCATGGGCAGGACTCGTTCTTCCTGGTTCAACCAGACCAGAGGCGAGTTCAAGAGGATTGGGATCAACTTCAAAGACTGGGTACCATGTATAACGTGACCATGCACGCAGGAGATGGTCACGTGGATCTCAGGCTGAGAAGTCCAGCCATTTTGCTCAATGTCCGCTACGGCGGAAGCTCTGAAGAAGAGCGAAAAAGACTGTTGAGTCATGCCAAGAGAAAAGCCATCAAAGATGCCTGGCAGAGAGAGGCCAGGCTTATTCAGAAAGGACTGAGAGGAAGCAGGGAATGGACAAAGTCAGAAATAGAAGACCTGCTGACGAAAGGAGATGTGACAGACTATTACGGAGAAGACATTCATGACGTGGAGACGTTTCCTCTACTGGCTGATGATCCCACTAATGTCGTTTTTCGGAAATGTAAGTTGACTTTAGTTAATTATGTTTTCTTTATTAATTTTTTTCTGAATGAACTATTTTAAATTAATTTAACTTTCAAAAATTAAAGTTTATAAATAAAAAACACTTTAGCTGCTTAATAAAAAGAAAAAAAAATTTCAGTGTAATTACCTCTTAAGACGCAGCTTCCTATATATTGGGCAGAATTTGGTTCAATTTTATCTCTTAAATATGTTTTAAGATTTTTTTTTTCATTGTATGCCTCTAAAAAGCCACTGCCTTTATAAAAATGTAATTTGATTTACCCCCGTTCGGAGTTTTTAATAAATTATTAGAGAGTTAAGAAATTCGATTTAAGAGAGAGTGAAGAAATTTGATTCAAGCAGCCTTTTAAAACGTTTTATCTCCTTTCCTTTCACAACCAAAATATGAAGAATAACATGATGAAATTGTCCTATTATGCAAATAAAAAAAAATAGTACGAATTAAGATTTATTAATTTCATGTATAATTAAGGATAACTAAAAAAATAGTTTTTTTTCATTCAAAAATTTTTTTTATTGCATTTGTAAGTTTACATTCTTCGACGCTACACAATTCTAAGTTAAAAGAGCATTTTCGATCATTATTTATAGCTCTTTTCGCAGGAGATTGAAACAACAAAAATTGCGGCTTTCTTAATTTATCCTTCTGAGGGTCGGTTTAAAACAGAAATTCAGTCTTTAATTTTGAAATTTGAATAAGATTAAAGAAATTTTTACCGTCACAATTTGGTCAAATATTTAAGAGATATTAAGAGATATTTTTCATCATTTTATTCTACATTCATTTTTCTTTATGTAAAAATCAAATACTCGAAATCAGTTAATGGCCAATGGAGGCAAAAACTTACAAAAGCAAATTAATTGCTGTTAAAGTAATATTTCTTGGAAACTAGTTAAATAGTTTAATATAAAAAATTACACGAATTTTAATTATTATTTACGTCAAATGTCTGCTTTATGTGTTACCTTGAATGACCGAAATCAAGAGAATTTCGACATTCAACTGTGAATGTCTGTGTGTCAACAATCACCACAATCGCTTAGATGAATGTCGGAAATATTTATTATATCCGATTTTTATTAATTTATTCGTTGATATATTTAATCGATATTTTAATATCTGTTACGGATAGCTTAGGACAAACATCTGTGTTAGGAGTACCGGGGAAATGCACTTGACCTTAAAAAAACATTGATGTAGGGTATAACTGGCAGTGGCGCTTAACTAGACTAGACCTAGTATATATTTTGGACATTTAACAAGGCGACTATGTGATGGTCATTATNTTGGCCTCCTCGGTCACCCGACCTATCATGTCTTGCTTTTTATTTCTGGGGTCATATGAAAACACTGGCTTATGGCACCCCTGTTGACAATGCTGAGGAGCTGGTTGTAAGAATCGCAGTAGCTGCCGGAGAAATTCGAGATATGCCTGGAGTATTGCAGAATGTTCGGATGTCCATGCGCCGGAGATGTGGGATGTGCATTGTAGCCGGTGGCAGAAACTTCGAACACTTACTTTGACCCATGTACATTATGCTTTTTTCAATGTATTATTAAAACGATTTCTCACTTACTGTCTCTTTTCTTTATGGTGCTTCTGTGTACATCACCGCTTCAGGAAAGCATTTCTGATCCCACATTGCTATATGATTTCGAGTCGTCAGGATACACCCTACCTCTCTTAGGAATTCTGAAGCGTTTAATTGAGACACCCTGTATATATATATATATTATTTTGTTGTTATATATCGTCTCAACTCATTGAGTCCGAAAGTAATCAACATTTTCGTAATAAAAAAACGTACTGTGTGAAAAAAGTACAGTCAGTGACTGGCAAAAGGAGATACCGTCAGTGACCAATAAAATAAAGTAATGCCCATAAATCTACGATGACCATAAAAATTCAGGCATCCTTTTTAATTTTTCCGTGAAAAAAATATGGTCACTGATTTTAAATTAACTTTATTCCCTTAAGAGTTATCTTCTACTCAGGTCTTGAATTTGCTTAAGACTCAAGTAATTTGTCTGCCGAATCAAGGAGAACCACGTAACGAGTTGAAGTAGTGTGGTGCTACCATCTGTTAAGGAGTGAGAGAGCTTACGGTTCGTTGTTCATACCATTTAATATGGAGAGAGTGGGAATAAGATGTAAAGACGAGTCCTTGGCACTAGCTGGAATCGAACCCGGAAGCTTTGTCCTCATAGTCATATGCTGTAACCATAGAAAATTTCGTTCACCCGATTGAGTTAGGAAGTTTTAGTTCACAAGGGTTTTTTTTCTTAAAGAAGGAGTCTAGCCGTAAAAATTAACGGTGAGATTTGAGGTTCGTTGCATTTATGGGCACTGGGCGTTTTTCACAAAGAAAGGAGCTGGGTCGTATAAATTAACGGTCAACTCTTCGAATAATATGGAATAATGTGTTGTAATAATGCTATTTTTATCTGAAGTATTCATGTACAGTTGATAATTAACTTCTGTTTTCAGGAACTGTCTCATATTCCTCTCATCCAAGTTTATCTGTGATCTGTGTATAAAACAACAAGCTACAGGGGTGTAAACTATGAACTGAAAACAAATCCAACTGTGTTATGAAAAATGTTATAAAATACTATAAATTATATCTTCTGAAGGCGAAAGATTTTATTCACCGATCCTTCCTTTTCATTCTCAAGTAAGTAAAAAACCACTTGTTATTGCGTAAACAAAACTAGAAATAATTTCTGTATCGATAAATGCCAATACAAAATAATATCGCAAGTGGTGATTAAAAATCAATCCATAAATCTTTATTTACTGCTGACGTCGTTAAAGTATCATACCAATTCAAAACAAAAGGTTTTTAAAATAATTGTAATACATATAAATGTCATGAATTGATCCTTTTATCTACAATTTTCTACTGTCAAAGTTATTCTTGATATTTAAAGTTGTTTTCAAAGGGAAAAAGATCACTATCTTAAGAGTCTCCTTCTCATATGCTTTTAGAATCTTTCTGAAAAACGAAACAAAAAAGTACATATGAGTAGAGTGCAAATTAAGACTTAAATGGGGAAAATACAGAATTGCTTTAAAATCTGACGAATCACTTGTAAAACAGGCGGTAATAAAAACGTCAAAACCAGTTTAGCTTTCTGATAAAATTTAGAAAACTTTCTAAGAATCTCTTTTGAACTCCTCTCTTTACGTCAGGTTATAAAATAGGCTTTGAATTTCCCCTCCCCCGCCTTCTTCAGTAGTGATTCATTCGATTTTGTTAGCAATTTTGTTTTGCTGGCAATTTTGTTACAACCAAAAAATAATTGAGAGAACTTTTAAAAAATTTAAGAACGATTTGACCGATTGTTCTCATTTCCTTAACAGAATTAAGAAAATTATAATGTAAAGGTTTCATATTAATTGCAAAAATGCCAAATCTTTTACAAAACGATGCTGTTCTATTGACGCTACTCTTGAAAATGCGTTTTCAGAACAATGTAGTACAATGTTAATGGTAAACACTGAGTTATTAAGATTTTGGGACACAATTGTGCGACTTCTCTTAGAACGTTAGACTACAACAAGCAGGGCGTTCCATAGCTACTTCCCTAAAAATGTCATTTGAAATTTTAAAAGTAAAATAAGCAAAATACACATTTAGAGTTGCAAATCAATATTTAAGCGAGGAAAAAACAGGAATGCTCAATTTACACTAGGGCTAAATACAGACCTTTGACATCACAGACCTGAAAAAAGGCTTATCAACTTGACACCATTCCTGAAGCCAAGGATTAACGAAGGGCGAATCATCAGGTGGTATAGTGCGACTTTCAGGAGAACTCCTCCAAACACCAGTCTCGCGTCGTGACGGGTACCATGGTTACGAGGAAAAGTCACTTGGAATAGGATAGTGGGGGGGATAGTTTTGTCTTGTTCTTTGCATAGGTCAGCTTGAGTAAACTAATTAACACCTTCATTCGTCCATTACACCCCCATTAGAAATGTGCTCTAGCTTGTAACAATAGCAGCAGACAGTCTCAGACATTTAGTCTGGAGGAGTTCTCCTCAAAGCCGCTCTATAGAAAACCAGGTCTTCGTTTCTCTCGTGACGTCACGAGTTTGATGTTAGTCCTTGTGTGAATAGGGAGTAAGGAATCACTTCTGAGGAAAATCGAACTACAAACATCTGAACTTCTTAATGAGGATAGAGTATATTTTCAGGAAAAATGTCTGTTTCAGAAAACTACTTATGAATAAAGCAAAATAACCGAAATAAAGCAAAGATAAACGTACAGAAATGGTCGTACTATTGCTTAGGTTTCATAAACTAGAACTTTCCTCAGTTTCGAGTTAAAAAATGTTATTAGAAAAGTAACAAAATTATTTTGCAGTATGTTTAGATACCTCAAGGTGATTATTTTTTATAGAACCAAAAATATAGTCTTTCCATATCTGTACCTTTATTTGAGATTTATTCATTCTATTTTGTTTTATATATCAAAACATGTTTGATTACCTGAGAAAAGAGTGAGGAGTTTATGGATGATTTTTTGAAAATCCTTCAAATCTTAAGCAATCAAACTAGTTAGGATGTTTTTAATCCATTTTTTCTACTAATTTGACAAATTTCATTGCGTGTTTGATTTTATTCTTCGATTTAATATTAATTTACGACTTCCAGACTGCAAAATCTTTTAACTTCCCTTTTGATAAGGATTCTAAAAATATACATTGTATTTCTGCAACATCAAGTTGTGGGTCAGGTGTATCATTGAATTTAATACCTTACAATTTTGAGTCTAGTGGCATAATGGTGGCAATGTGGTCAAGCATTACGCACCTGCTGCATTTACTTCCCTGACAAACTGATATCTATCGATCAAAAGCTTAGTGAGCTTCAAGTCACCACCAGGGTTCAAACTCCAATCCTTCCCATTACAGTTCAATGCTTTTACCACTCAGATGTCGCCTCAAAAAATCCGTTAACGGTGGTTATTACCAAACACCATGCATATAACTTGTTTGAATTGTTTGTTTATTAAATTTATACAGCTTTGAAACTAATGATTTTTTTTCTTTAATTTCAGGTCAAAAATATATCATCCCTGTAGTTTATACGAACTATTTATTATTATTATTTTTTTTTTTTGCCAAGCATGTGAATACTTCATCTCACTTTATTTGAAAAATCAATATTTTGTGTTTCAAGAAAGACTATAATTTATTCTTGTTTCATAGTTTGTGATATTTTAATGAGTTTCAACGATAAACAGTTTTTTTTTTCAACTGGTTCTGAAATTCTTCAAGTCATGTACTGTGCTATGCTTGGTCACTTTATTTGTATAATTTAACTTGGTTTTTAGAAATCAACGTCCAAGTTTTTCAATCTGCCTTATATCGAATTGAATTATAAGTTTAAATTGTGTAAATATTTTTCCACAAGTCAAATTGTTACTGTGTTAACTATGAAATCATGCAGGGTATCAACTACAAAAATTTAAAGCAACTGTATCAAAATCAAAATATATCTTTAAAAAGTATAAATTATACATACATTGTGATTAATAATTGTACATAATATTTAACTAACTATATAAACAGTTTAATTTTGAAAAGAAATGGTTCTTTCCTTCAATTTGTCATTTATTTTTTAAAAAAATGGTGCATTCTCTTCTGATTGTGCTTTTCAAATTTTTTAAATACAATTCCTATGAAATATTTTTTGAAAAAGCTAAATGATTTACCGTGATATATTTTATTCTATCAGTTATTGTGCAATAATTTGTTTGAAAACAGCAATTGTTTAATATTGTATTGTATATCTGTTTTGATTTATTTATTTGCATATTTTTACAATTGGTTATTGAACATTATACTAATTTAAAAATAGTAAGTTATTTTGAAATTTCAAAAATAATTACTATATTAACAAAAATGCATTACAATAACACAATTATATCCATGCGTGATTTGTTCTACAAAATGGCAAAATTTATACAATAAAGTTTCAACTGAAAATATGTTTGTAATAAAATGACTTTTAGAACATGTTTCAGTGGTGTGGATATTACATATTGAATTTAGTCAAATTTATCATGTCCTAGATGAATAAATATTCCTCGTACGAGATAAAAGAAACTAAATAATCAACAAATCTGAATTTATTATTTGTAGGATAACATTCACTTAAGTCAGGGGTATATAATGACATAATTATTAGAGCTTAAATAATTTCTATTTCTATTATAATTTGTTGCCTTTAGTCACGACTTTACGTTATTAGATTAAGCAGAACACGCTTATCGAAGTTCGGCTTTTCATGATAAAATTCAATATCATATTCAGCACTAAAAATAATGCTATTAATAGCTGCCAAGCTATTTTAGTCATACTTTATCAAAATGTAGCAATTTTCTCCATTAATTTTGTTGTTATTTTTATTTTAATTACTATTGGTTTAAGAATGTGTAGTTGTAGAGAGATAAATTTTAAAATCTTGACTATAAACAAAATAAACACTTGGTTTCAGATAGCTTAGAGACACTATTTGACTGACATAGCGATAGAGATACTATTTTACTGACGTAAACTCCAATTGAATTAAACAGAGCTATAAGCTTAGAAACAACACTAATGTTATCTTGATATTTAAAGTAAAAAACAACATAATCGTCTGCAGATAAATTTAACAATGACTAATACTAAACCAATGAGAAAAGTTCATCTTTCAAACGTCTCTCTCGAACGTCCTAAGTAAAAATTTTGTTCGATTTTTGAATCGGGGTCTAAAATAGTCCCTTGCCTCCCATTGTCAAAATTTCAAAACCATAGAATAAAATTTTCTGGTGTTATAAAGGAGACAAAATATAAAGGTACGAATATGACATAATAATTTTGAGGAAATTTAGTATCATCTTTAGTTAAATAACATCCACATCAATAAAGCATATTGTTGATTACATTTTTTTGTTGTTTACGGTTACATTTTTAAGTTAATCCCTCCATAAATTTTTTTCTGTTTTTTTGAATTGTAAGTTTTGCTATTTTGTAGTATAAGTTACATGTGGAGTTATCCTTTAATAAAGTCATAATAACTTTATTTTAGTATTTTTTTTCCTCCAAACAGTAGAGATTGATAAAACTACTAACTTAAGAATGGTTTTTAAAAATTTAAGAACTTGGTTTAGTAGGAAAGACTGTTTTGATAATTTTTGATTAGCTTCTTAAATCTGAATATTCAAAAATTTATTGTCCTTCAAAATCTTCAAACAGGGTCTGAAAAATTTTAAAGCAAAATATATCTCTATGCTTTAAAAAAACCTCTTTTACAACATATCTTTTAGAAAGGCCAACAAGTACTTTAAACTACAAGTTATTGTAAAACTAATCACCGATTCATTTTTATACAGATCTCATTCATTTTTGATCAACATTCCTTACTCAACGAGAGGACTATTAAAAACGAATGTTTTTAAAATCGAACTTTGAATTGCAAAAAAAAAAAAAGAAAGAAAAAGAACTAGGGGTTTTCTAAAGTAACTAGCTGTGATTTGTATGCTTTTATATTTATATATGTATGTATCCCACAAATGTATGTGTACAAAAGAAAGCTAAAATTAAGATATGGACAATCATAAGGAAAAAAATGGAAAGCACCAGTGCTGGACACTCAACTTTCAATTTCTCAACTTTCATGTCTCGTCCCTTTTATGTGTTAGTGGCCGTTCTAGGTCACTCTGAAAAACTTACTCGAATTAAAATTCTGTTAGTTATTTTCATTTTTTTATCGTCACCATGACGATGAAAATGGACGAGTAAGAAGCTTCCGTCGAATTGCAATGCCGAATTGTTTTAATGCATCCATCAGGCTTAGCTGGGGATGTTATGTATATATTGTTTAATGCCTTGTACATACTTGCCTATATATATATATATATAAACGATTATGAAATGTTTGTACTTAATTGTTGTTGTGAATTTTAATACTACATTTAGTCGACTTTGATGATTAAATAATAAAATTGGACCAAAGTAAATTTTTAGAATGTTTGTATTTTTAAGGGTACATTACATTCATAATAAATGAGTTGAATAAAAATTAAACTAGAAAATCCCAAAAACGACAAACTCACTAAAAATTTAAAGAAAATCAAAAGGAGACAATATTGTACAGTTTGCTGTTGACCACATTGGAAACCACTGATTTAATCTCACAAAGTTTCAATATTAGGTTCAAAGTTCAACAAGAGAAGGCACTGACAACGAAGAAAAATCAGAAGCAATATTTTTACAACCATTAAACTATTATTTACGTCGACAACGTCGTTTCAGGTCGGAGAACTGTAATGAAAATCTTTCCATTGGGATTATCTGACACACAGCATAATTCAAGGTTTTATAGTTTTCCTTGTCTGTAATACCATCTATTGGCGTACTTGGCAACTAGTATTATATTTGGAAGAAAAAACATTGATTTCCAATGCGAAATACTGCAAATTGTTTTTTCTTCCCTTTTTTATTGTCGTTCGTTTTATGAGGCATCCGGTACTGCAATTAACAGGTTCATTTCTACCATGTTAAAATCTAAACCGTTATTCTTAACTAAGAGAAATTTTAGATTTAAAGGATTATCTCCGAAATTACTAGACTGGTTTTGATGAAATTCAGTTCGAGCATATGTTCAATACAGCAGCACGTGCCTGTATCACTCATTATAATCACATTGTATGTAACAGTGGTTGCAAAACGAAGGAAATAAATTGGTTAAAGGGAGTTTGGTTTCCTCCATACAAACTCACAGTATGGCTAATTATTTCGAAAAGTACTGGTTTGGTTTTAATGAAATTCAATTTGAGCGTATGTTCAATGCACAAACATGATCATGCGGTGAAACACACATCACAATCATATTGTATGAAACAGTGATTACGAAATCAAGCAAATAAATGGACTCCTCTATACAGGTTCACAAAAGGATAGGTAATTTCAAAAACTACTGCTTAGTCATTAATGAAATTTGTTTTGAACGTAAGTTCAAGGTGCCCGCATGCGCCTGTAATATTCATTCTAATCAGATGGTATGAAACAGTAGCTATAACATCAAAGAAATAAATGGGTGATGGGGAGTTGGGTCACTATACAGGCTCACACAAGAATCGATTATCTCAAAAACTACTGGGCACATTTTAATGAAATTCTGTTAGAGCGTACGTTCAAAACACACGCATGATCATGCGTAACACTAATCATAATCAGATTTCATGAAACAGTGATTACAATATCCAGCAAATAAATGGAACATGGTCTTCTCTATTCAGGCTCACACTAAGATATCTTAGCTCGAAAACTACAGGATAGGTTTCAATGAAATTCTGTTTGAACAAATGTTCAATACACACAGAAGATCAAGCGTAACACTCATCATAATCAGATTATAATGAAGAATGGCTACAAAATCAAGTAAATAAATGGATTAAAGGGAGTATGGTTTCCTCTATATCTATACAGGCTCAGACTGGCATTTATTATCTCAACTACTGGACAGGTTTCAATGAAATTCTGCTTGAACGTATATTCTATACCCACACATGAGCATACGAAACACTCATCATATCCAGACGGTATGAAACAGTAGATCATCATGTACTTTTTATAGATTGTTTCTTGATAAATTTTTTAACGATGTATAGCATAGTTCAGACTTGAGTTCCCGAGCGTAAAATTCCAAGTTTCAACAACAATAGGAGGTGGGGCGGGCATTTTATATTATCCTGTTCTAAATAGTTTAAACTCTTAACCGTTTTTTGAAGCGTGCATTTGCAGCCCACAGGTGAAACTTTAAGATTTGAAAAAATTCAACTACTTGTTTTGTATCATTAGCAAGTTCTAATCTAAACTTCATTCTAAAAACAACTTTTGAATATTAAAAGAAGTGCATATATGCATAAGAGGCTCTAAATGTTAAGTTTAATATTATGAAAGACGAAAATAAGAATGTTTGAAAATTTGATTTTGTTGCAGCGTTTCTACCTTAATTTAATCACACATTAATATGTGCGCATACAGGATGTTACGTAAGAACCAACCTCCAAATATATATTATTAGCCTTTTCTTGAAAAGAAAATCATATGAATGAACGTAAACTAATACTGAAGCAAAGAAAATATTTAAAAAAATTACCATCGAAATCGGTTGAATTTCCAGACAGGAAGACTGTACATTTAACCTCAAAACCAGTTTAATTGCCTGATTAAACTTTGAGGTATTTCTTATAATATTCTGTCATATCCTCTCTGCTTGATTTCAGCAATCAAACAGGTTTTGATGTTTCAGCTCTTCAGTATTCCTCAATGAGAGTTTCACCTCGCTCAGTATTGATTTGCTAGATTTCGATAGCGTTTTCATTTTTTCGCGATTTATTTTAATTCGCAATGTGCAAATTAATCTTCATTTTTGAAGAAGCTTGCAAAAATGTATGTTATGGACTGTCTTTATAAAACGCTTTGTATAAAATGTTTGGGAATCGGCAGCTAAATTTTTTTTTATAATTGGGGCAGTAATAAGTCATTGTTATTGACAAGCCAAACATATTCTTTTAGAATTTTCTGAGATGAATGAGTACATAGTAAGTTTTTGTCCTTGCCAAATATACTCTCATTTATTGAGATATTAGTAAATAAACTTTCTCCATGGAAATGGTGATCAATTAGAATACTTTTTCTCATCGATAACCGACATAATATGACAGATGAAACATATTTTCACTAGGACAATTGAAACAACTATTACTGCTTCAGGTGTAAAAGTTAGAGCAGCAAATCTTATTACAATTAAACATTTTGTTTTTATGCATGTTGTTGCTCGTAAATTCACAATTATTATCAATTTTAGAGAAGCAATATTTAAATTTGTCTCAACGTACACACCACCTTCTTCTGATAATGAAACCATACAGCATTTGGATTTCTTACAGACATTTCTGCAATCATTCATTCTAAATGAATGAGGCAGAGTACTTGAGGAGTACAAGCGCTTTTTGATTAAGAAGTCATTATTATAGTTTTGACCCAAATTCCCCATCAATGCTTGACTCGACTACGGGTCGTAGTTGGATATACCTTATACTAACCTGACGTGAACTTTGAATGAACCGATTGGAAGACCGAATTATAACCAATTATTCAAGGCAATATAACCAATTTTTTTTATAACCGAGGCATTTTGATAATCAGTGCAATGTAATATGTTTTTTTATAACTAAGTTAACTTTATGCTAATTAATTAGTGCAGACTGTGTTTCGAAACCAGACACAAAAACGTAATTTCTCTGAATAAACATATCCTTTTTATCGACGGGCCGAATTCTGAACCCTCAAAATAGGTGGAACAGTCGCAATCTGGAAAATATAGTATCTTATATTAAAATGGCAATTTTGGCAGTGAAACTTCGAGTGAATTTTCGAATAATCTTTTATAGTTCCTTCCAATTAAACTTGTCAGCAGTGGGAAGCACAAGGAATGTAACAGCACGCCTTGGGAAATAATTCTAGGTAATTAATTTTAATTCGAATTAGCTGAATGCGTATGAAATTGTCAATGTATGTATGAAATTCGAAAAAAAAATTTAATATATATATAAAATATTTCTGCATTAAGTCCATTTAATTTATAATTTATAAATATTGAGGTAATAATCTTTAACTCCATGCCCCAGAATTTTTTTTTTTTTTTCAATTTAATGTGGACAATTGAATAAAATCTAAAATTTAGCTTATAAAAACATATGCTATTATTTTTCGAAAAGTTTCAAAGCAATGAGCAAGAGGCAACATTTTACAACTTATGAATAACCAACAATTTTTTTGAACTTATAAATTAAGTCGACAATTAAACTCAAAACGTCACATAAGTTTAAACTATTTATTACTTGGATTTTAAATTAAAGTCTCAACTTCTTAGGTTACCGCATTTAGACCATATGAGATCAAAAGTAACAAAACTTTCGTTCTAAAATAACGAAATCGGAAGAATTCAATTGGGGTTTAAAATCAGATGTTAAGTATATTTACAAAAAGAATACTTTAAGAATGATAGTGCATGAAGGAAATAAGAACTGTTGACTAAGAATTATTAAGACACATGAAAGAATCCCATTCCTCTTACAAGGTCGCCTACAACGGGAGAAACTTTTTGTTACAAATTCTCTTTCCTTTTCCTCTTTTCCATAACTAATTTAAAATTTAAAGTTAAAAAAAAATTGAGTTCAGACAAGCCTAGAGTAAGCTATGAAGTTTCAAATACTGAAAAGAAATTTTTAAGATTTCAAAAAGAAAATCAATTATAAGAAGATAATTCGGAATTACGTAATAGGGAAGATCTCTTCCGATAATCTGTTTGCATTTTTATATATTTATTAAATTCATTTATTTATTTTACAGCAATGGAAACTTCATGGCTTACTTTAGGCTTGTCTGAACTTTTTTTTTACTTTAAATTTTAAATTGATTACAGAGGGGAAAGAGAATTTGCGACAAAAGGTTTCTCCCGTAGTATGGTATCCTCTTAAGTCTATTCTAACAAAGTAAACAAATGCACTAAACGTAATTGCTGACCGTTTGATCTGAAATTGAGGCAATGATATCGAGGCTCTTTTTCCATCAAGGCCAGAGTTCGTGAATACGCATCCAGAAGAGACCAGATTTTTAAATCATGATTTGAAGACAATCAGCACAACGTCCTCAAAACATTTTACGACTTGAGGACATGGAAAATAGTATTTTATTTCTGCAACACAGATATCTTTTTTTTTTCAAAGTTAATTTTAAAAGCAAAACTTTCTTCATCAAACTTGATTTCATTACTTGATATTCTATATTTGGTTCGCATATGTAAGAGGAATATATGATTTGATTATTCGCGATCGCAACGAACTAAAGGGGGCGTTGTTGTATGAGACTAATACTTGCGATTTCTATATGAACAGTCATTCAGTTACTCTGGAGACGTCTTTAATGTAGCGTGTAACATTGTAACGTT